TTAAAAAAAAAATATAGCAAAAATCAGTCGTTTTGGTGTACTCAAGAACACATTTTAGGTAAAATCAAAGTTCCCTATGGAACCTAAGTAAAAAAATAATTTAAAATGTTAAGTACTAAAATTGTTACTTATAATTTCGATTTATCGTAGATATTCAAGTATACGTAATTTAAACATTAAAATTAAGTATACGAATTTCATTATTCATAATTTCTATCGAAAAACTACTTTACTTTCTTTTACTGCTACCAACCATAAGTGAAAGCTCTTAAGGGATAATATTTCTTAGATTTGAATAGTCTTTAAATTAATGAATTCAATTGTTTATAAAGAAAATGTTAATATGGGTCACGAGGTTTGCACCGCTCAACCAAAAAAGGCGTGTATAAATTATGCCCATTGTCATGCTCTTTGATTATCATAAACCATCATCAATTGAGGCATTTATGATACAAAATTGGATTAAATAAAGCTTGAAATGCGCCCCAACGACATCGTTTCAATGGGAAAAGTGACTCAAAGATATTTTCCCGCAGATTGATGTGCATGAGTCTCTGTAGAAAGTAGCGGTGGTTAACTATCCATTCCTACCTGTGGTGCCACCGCCTGGCGGATCACTGGATATAACTCCGGGGAAGCGCAGGCATCTGAAGTCCAGGCCAAACTTGTGGTAATAGTATTCGCCAATCAGCTCGGCGTGCACCTTGGAAACGCCATAAATAGTGCGCGGACGTTGGATCTGGGGAATTAGGTCTTAAGTATCGATCAAACATTTGGCTATAGAAACTGAAGTCCTACCGTAACATTTGGAGTGGGATTGCGGGGACTGTCGGGCCCAAAAGCTCCGATGGTGCTAGGTACAAAGATGCGGAGCCTATATTGCTTAGCCAGCTCGATGACATTGTGAACACCCTCGATGTTAACCCTTTAAAGGATTTGTATTATTAGATATATTTGTAAGATAGGAAAAGTAATTATAGATTTTAAAGGCAAAAAATGTTTAATTAAAAAAGTTATTTTCATACTAAAACCAATTAAAATTAAAATACTTGGTCAAGAAAAAATAATGTAGTTTTAAAAAATAATATTCTGGCTTATACAGAATTTCTGCCAAGGGTAAATATATTTTTGTGTAATAGAATCCTACCTCACTGCCAGTGGCACATTCTGTTCTCCCACAGCACTGAGCAAAGCCGAGAAGTGGATCAGCCAGTCGATGCGGTGGTTCACAACGATCTTCTGAAGACCCTTGAAGTCCAGAATATCGGCAAAGATGTACGGCCCATTCTCCAACACAGACTGACTGGGCTTGATGATGTCGGAAAGAATTACATTCTCGCTGCCGTACTGCGTCCGCAAGAGTTTTGCACACTCAATTCCCAACTGCCCTAGGCCACCTAAAAAGTTAAAATTGTAATATTACATTTTAATGTGAAATAATTAAAGCGAAAATACTGAAAATAAGATATCCCATTTAATTAAATGTAAATAGAGGAAATTTAATAGTTGTTAGCACTGCATCGATCCCAAATATTGACACTAATTCATTTATCTCTTAAGAAAATTGATAATCTACTTTTATTTTTATAATATTTCACGGTGGACGACTGCTCACGATTAGAACAGTATTTTACAACTACAGTCAATATATTGTTTAGCACACTTTTGGGCAGCAAATTATAGGTCCGACTTTTGGAAAATTAATAGAACAGTATTTTAAACAAGAAAGGAAAGCTAACTTCGGGCGGAGCCGAAGTTGAAATACCCTTGCAGAATATTCTGTAAATTATATTCTCCAAAATTATTTATATGATGCATTCTTAACACTCATAAAAATCCCAACTTCCTAACTTTAAAAACACCAAAGTTATGGCATTTCCAATCGTTCAGTTATATGGCAGCTATAGAATATAGTCGGCCGATCCTTATGAAATTTGGTATGTCGGATTGATTGGCCAAAAATAAAACCCATAGAGAATTCCAACTTCCTAACTTTAGAAACACCAAGGTTATGGTATTTCCGATCAATCAGTTATACGGCGGCTATAGGATATAGCCGGCCGATCCTTATGAAATTTGGTAGGCCGGATTAAGTGGCCAAATATAAAAGCCATAGAAAATCCCAACTTTCTATCTTTACAAACACCAAAGTTATGGCATTTCCGATTAATCAGTTATATGGCAGCTATAGGATATAGTCGGCCGATCCTTATGAAATTTGGTAGGTCGGATTGATTGGCCAAATATAAAACTCATAGAAAATCCCAACTTCCTAACTTTACAAACACCAAAGTTATGGCATTTCCGATCAATCAGTTATATGACAGCTATAGGATATAGTCGTCCGATCCCGGCCGTTCCGACTTATATACTGCGTGCAAAGGAAAGAAGGGTGTGTGCAAAGTTTCAATTCGATATCTTTAAAACTGAGAGACTAGTTCGCGTAGAAACAGACAGACGGACAGACAGACGGACAGACAGACGGACAGACGGACAGACGGACAGACGGACATGGCTATATCAACTCAGGAGGTGATCCTGATCAAGAATATATATACTTTATAGGGTCGGAGATGTCTCCCTTCACTGCGTTGCACACTTTTGACCAAAATTATAATACCCTCTGCAAGGGTATAAAAATGTTGGGAGTGATAAACGTATGTATAATTTAGTTTGACCTATATATTGCTATTACGTGTCAAAATGTTTTTTGTATCTAATATTTACCTTTTTACCTTCTATACAACCTATCTTTTGTCACTTGTTTTGATTTATGTTTATCATTTTCAACGTTTTTAACAAAATTTAAATAACTGTATTGGAATAATTTAAAAATTTATAATGTTTCTTGAATTTTGGTTAGGTAAGCCTATGCTTTATCTATGGTAATTCATTCTGGTGGACAGCTGGATGGTCCGGTCACCCTTGAACGCATTGCTGTGCGGATAAATATAGACTATCCACGTGGCGCGGCGACTGACCTGTGATGAGAATTTTGGGTGGTCTGCCCTCGGGGGGCACCTGATGGACAGAGCGGCGATGGATGAGCTGGCTGGCGACAGGCGTTATCCTGGGAATCGAAACCGGGCTCGGGACGGGGGCCAGGGCCAGACTGGCGAGGCATTTGCGAAACATTTTCCGGAGTGACGATCTCTCGATTCGCGACGAGCGCTGCCAGCGAGCTACGGGTTTCAACTGATTTCGAAATTCGCAAAATGTTTTTCAGCAAGCCCTCAGCATTACTTCACTCCCGCCTAATTTCCGCTATATGTTTTCACATATATCGCCTGAGCAGTCGGATCCCGTCGGCTCCATTCGTCTCGTCTGGTCGCTTAGTTACTTAGTTAGTGAGTGTTAGTTGGCAGCCAGTCAAATTCATTATGAGCGGGAATTGTCGCCATGGCGCACCGAATTTGTTTGGGGCCCGGTCCGAGATTCAATAAAAACGAAAGCAAATATATGGAGGAGGCCCGACAAATGCCAACAACAAGTGCCTCAGATGGATGGGTTTCCTTTTCGGTGGCGGGGAATGTCTAAATCTGTGCAAATACATCATATAATATGTACTGCGTTGGCTGGGGGTTATGCAAGCTCAATTGGAGGCTACAGGGTGCTCCGTAATTGCGTTCTCGGACAGGCCCCTTTTTGTGGTCCCATTTTAGGGGGTGTGTCTGGCATGCTTCGAGTGTTCTTCACTCATCCGGAATCTTTTTAAAATATAACTTTTCAAAACTTTAGTTTAATATCTTTTTAAACTTTTACAGCTTTGACTCATCAGTGCCGAAAAACCTCTTAGTTGGATTTCTTCGAAATTGAATTTAGATTTAACTATATAATTTGAACTTTGTTTTCTATAAACATAAATCATATAAACATATAATTAAATATTTTATTTTTGTACAATTTTAAAAATAACCTCTTAATCAAATAAAAATAAATGTCTGTCATGTAGCTGCCATTGAAACTATCAAAACAATTTACAGGAAAATCGTCATAGCTGCGCTTTTTGAAATATTACATTTTAATTATAACAGCAAAGGTACATATATAAATTTAGGCCAAGCAAAATTGCTTACATTTTTGTTTCAACCAATGCGATTGTTTCTTTTTAAAAAAATACAACATTTATTTTTATTTATTAATAATAGAAGAATTAAAATTATTTTAATTTGATTATATTTTTTATTATATTTTTGAGTTCCTACCATATAAATAATAACTAATTTACCAATAATTTTGACCAACAAAATATTAGGTATATTGCCTAGAGAATTAATAGAGAACTTTAAATCAAACCCCATTTAGAGAGGCCCATGACCTAGCAACAGTTGCAGAATTTAGAAAGACTCAATGATAAATGATCGTTCTATGTGTCGCAAATCAAATTAACCTTGGGTGCGAAATTCCATTTCGTTGACAATGAACTGAAGTCCCTCAGGGGTCAGTTTGAAATCCATTTCAATTAGTGGGGCAGAGAACCTAATCCGAATTTTAATCGGCCACGTGTAGTGCCGAGATAGAAAAGTGCAATGAATTAGCACTGTTGATACGTCTGACTGCTTATGGTTTTCCGAACTGGTCTTATCATCTAGTGGCATCCAGGGAACATATTGGCCCTGACAACCCGTATTTTCTCAGCTGCATGACGTATTTAAATATAGTAAATATTGTGCACATAGAACTAAAAATATTATTTGCTTGCCATGAGAAAAACAAAAACAGCTGAGAATTTCACTTTTTCTTCCTGCATGTTTGCACCTATTAAAAAATAAATGGCTTACTTGTATATTATGAAGGCTAAATAATAGCATGCCCCATAAAAATGTTTAATTTTTAATTAAGATGGTTTCTTATATCCATTTTCCATTTTTCATGCACCACTGAATATTTTTCAAAGATGAATCTATCACCGCAGTAAATATGAATGTACTTATTTCTGTCGTTTCAAAGACAAATTTGTCATTTTTGATTTAAACAATAAATATATATAGAATTGTGACATGTTCCTTTTTATATTCTTGGTTGCTTCTGAGGTTATTGAAAACCAACATTTTTGAGAACATTTACAAATGCAACTTTCTTACTAGCTCTACCAGAATTGCTTAGGACATGAAAGCATTAAGGAAGAAGTGTTAATTGACCACAATGAACATCGTAGAAATTGGTTAGTCCCAGAGCTTATCGTATCCGATTCACTCTCCGAAGATTGTGAAGCTTATGCAAAAGTATGCTATATTCTAAGATTTATATACACTTTAAAACATATACTATCATCTCATATAGCATCTGGTTACTTTAAAAATCCCTGATCAAAAGTTATACAAAATCCAGGAGAAGAGTTTTGTGGATCAACTGGCTTTACCCTTATCGGATCCATTAAACCCCAGCTATACCGAAAATATTTGCGAATTTGTGAATAATAATTGCGTTAAATACTGGTCCACTCAAGGGGCAAGATGCTACGGCATGTCAAAGAAACGTAGAAACAAACATGAACAATCTTTGGCCGATAAGTTTTCAGCAATCACGTGGAAATCGTCTTCGAGCATCGGTATTGGATGGGCACCAAAGAATCCAGCGTGAGTAATGAGTGATTCCCTCGTCTCACTGTTAACTCAATAATTTGCAGAAACAAGAATGGAAGAAAGATACTGGTAGTCAGGTACTCACCACCCGGAAATATACCGGGAGAGTACGATCAAAATTTAGAAAATCCTGACTTTTTAGACTATTATACTTTGTCTGCAGTTAACGATGAAGAAATGATGGAAGTTCCTAAGACTTCAGGAGGATCACGTGATGGTCCACTGGGAAATCAAATTGATATAACTTTATTAGTCCTAATGTTGCTGTTAACATCAAATTGTATAGTTTGAAATTTCTACCGGTTTTAAAATTGAGCTGCTTTATGCTAAATTAATATTTAATTAAAATTAATTGACTAAGTTACTGAAGAGTATACGTTTAATTAAAATGTTTCTTTCTTAATCGAATTCCGGCGTATAACTATCCTATATCACATGCGGTAATATATTGATATTTATTAATTTTATTAAATTTATGTGCTAAACCATATAGCCAAAAAAAAAAAAATGTTACCTTTCGGGTTGCCAAACAGGAATCGAAATAAAAATCTCAAAACAGTAGTGTGAGCATCGTTTGTTATGATTATCAAATTATATGTCAAAATTAGCACTTGGCCTTTGTTTCCACAGTGATTTCCTGCCATAATTCTCATAATTTCACTTGCAATTTCATTTAAACGTTGGCTGTAAACAGCTTCGAGTTCCGAAACAGGCCGAACCCGGATCTCGAGGGAAGAGCGACCTCTGATCCGTGGTCACAGATCGGCTCACCTGAGTTCCACAATGGAGTCCACTCCTCGCCGAGAACCAGCCAAGTGTGGCGCCCAACGTGGAACCCAACTCCCATATGGCGCAGGCAGGAAGCTTCGTTCAAGCCGACATTTCTGGTAGAAATCTTGAGTAATCTGCTGGGCTCCAACTTATTTCGAGAAACAGTTTTCGCGTGCATTCCAAACGAGGCGGTTCGGCTTAAAGAAAACGCGGAGAATTCAGCAAAGTCCATGCCCAATGAGTTACTGGTGTTGGTGCTTAATTGAATGAAAACGCCTTAAAGAAAAGCAAAAGTGCTTTCGAAAGTGAAGTGAATTAAATTAAAATAAAGCCACATCGCGTCAGAAAATATTGCCCTAAAGAAGTAACAGTTTTGTTATTTCAACAGAATAAAAAGTGAACCAGCATTTAATTTATCATTACTCAGATTTATCGGATTAATAGTGAGTCAAAAGGAGTATCTGTCGGATTAATTTGTGATTGAGTAAGTCAAATGGTGTTTGTGATATATTCAATGATTATATAAAAGCTTACAAAGCAAGCATTTTAATAAATTAAATAATTAAATTATGTTTTTATTGCAATGTTTTTTTCCCTTAATTCCGTAAATGAATCTAAGAGAAATAATGAAAAGAAAAACTATTTAATATATCTTTTATGTAGGGCTTTGAGGGGTTACTCGAAATGAAAACGGACAGTATTTGTTTTTAAAAGTTAAAAGGATTGTTCGCTGAAAAGTTTGAGTCTTCTGGATAGATTATACAACACTTATCATATTAAGTTGTCTTCGTAAATGCATAAAATAAGTCACATGTATATATTTATTATATATATATATATTTATATATATATATATATAGATATTAAATGTTATATTCAGCTTTAAATTTAATAATTAAATAATATAAAAAACTAACCATTTTGCAAAAGGGATTAATTGGTCAAGTTAAAGTTTATTTTTATTTATTTATAAAAGAAGAGTGCACTTAAACGTTTATTTTAAAAAAAACTCAATTTATTTACTTATTCTGATATATAAAAAAGTTTATTTTTTATTCGTTTTGGAATTGTAATTTTCGATCTATTAAACTAATAAATTAACCTACATCTAAATTCTAAATCTACATTCTCAAAAGAACCGTTCGATGTAGAACTAAACAGTTACTTAATTAGGAGAGTTTAAGGGGGACCGAAAAGAAATCAGAGCAGGTGAAATTGTCGTTATAGAGACTTTCCGAGGAAAAGAGGGACTGGGGGCGGTGTCTTCACTTAGTGTGACTTCAAGGCGTGCAATGCAAGAAATTACACACAACTATGGGTACAAAGAGATACAGATACTGGTGCAGATACAGATACAACGCTCGTCCACAGATGCAGATACTCCAGGCCGAACAATGATGAAAACGACAATAATTTCAAGGTTCGTTTGATGTAAACTCCGCTGCGCATGCGTAGAAACGGCGGCAGAAGATAAAGCTAAAACCGAAGTTGAATCGGCGGTTAGCGTTTCACTCTAGTCCAATGTTTTGCAGCTGCTTCTCCGGCTTCCTACTGCTTCTGTGTTTTCAGTTTTTTGTTAAATGATTACAAAATTTTCGTTGAAAAGCCATGTTACGCTTCTCGGCGCAAAGAGTTTCTTTTTTTCGGTTCGAGTTGCGCAGTTGCATGTGAGGGTGGTATAGTTATAGCGGTGGCATGGAAAGGTATAATGTCTATACGTTATGAAGACGCGTCGAGTCTCTTTGGGGCTATTGCACAAGACAGCGTACGAATAACTTCCTGTCGTACGACCCACCTCAAACGATGGGGCTTTATGAGCCGTTAGAAGTGCATCTTGGAGGAAACTTTTCAAATTGCTCACATGTGCGGGAGACCTTTTTCTCTTACATTGAGCCCAATGCAAACAAGTTATTCTTCTACTAGTTAAAAGAAATTATTTACACCACTGCGAAATTTGCCATATAATTTTAGAAGCAATTATTTTTAATAACCGATTATCCAATATTTGCTTAATTTTTTATTATCATTATTTGTGTATCAAGAGGCCACTTTATGTGATCACAAAGCACAAAAGAGTTGTGATTTTAAAACCTCTTCAAAGAGTTGAGCTTATATAAATAAATTAACGAAAACACCAACAAAAATGTAAGTTTATCCCAACATTTATATTTCAATACCTGAACAAAGCACAGTATTGCAAGTTTCCTGATCAGTGTCATAGAAATATTTTAAGAACTGGCACACCTGTGCCAATACTTAAAATACCAAATCTTATCTCAAACGATTTAAATCAAATTTCTTTAAACTGTCGACTCACAAAAACAAAAGAAATATTTTATCAATGATCTCAAATTAATTCAAACAAACTGTTTAATCGAGATTGAAATTTTGATTAACAATAAGCTCCTTATTAATCGGTAATAAACTTAACTCAAGAACCAGACACCTGTTATGAACCCAATGTTTGGTGTCGGTATCTAATCTGGCTAAACCATCCATAAATTCAATAGAATAAAGTGCTATAAACTTTTTTGTTGTCACATGCACATTTGCCTGTCAACAGATAAAATCGCCAAAAGTATTGCAATTCATTATTTTCGGTTTTTTTCCAAGTGAACAATTCTAAGATTTAATGGAAAAATTTAAGGATACTTGAAGGTGAGTTCTTATTATGAGAACATGAAGAACAAACGAGGACGGAAGCTAACTTCGCCAAGCCGAAGTTTTAATACCCTTGCAGACATATAAAAATAGAAAAAAAAGGGATATTTTCACAGCTTTTGACAACAATTCCTATGGAAGCTATAAGATATAGACGTCCGATCGGCAAGATCGGGCCTGATCAGAGTACGCGCAAATAAATAAGATTTCGAAAAATGTATGTCAATAGCTTATACACAGCGCGAAATATCCTGAAAAACATTAAATTTGGACCGATTTTACCCTATTATTCCTATGGGAGCTAGGATATAGACGTCTGATCGGCACGCGTTTTTACCCTGATCAAGGTATGCATAAAAAAATACGATTTGGAAAGATTCTGGTCAATACCTTATATACTGCGCGAAATATCCTGAAAAGCATCAAATTTTAACCGATTTCACTCTATTGTTCCTATGGATATAGACGTCCGATCGCGCTTTTACCCTGATCAAGGTATGCATACAAAAATACGATTTGAGAGATGCATTTCAATAGCTTTTACACTGCGCGAAATATCTTCAATTCTTGCAGGGTATATCCGATTGTGCTATGGGAGCTATAGGATATAGACGTCCGATCGGGGCGCTTTTCAAACTTTATCTGCGTACACATGTTTTAGGACTACTGTGAAAGTTTCAGATCGCTAGTTTGTAAACTGAGCTCGCAAACGGTATTGAAACAGACGGACAGACAGACTGGCTATATCGACTCCCCTATTGATCCTGATCAAAAATGTATACACTTTATGGGGTCAGAAACGTCTCCTTCACTGCGTTACAAACTTCTGACCAAAATTATAAGGGAATAAAAAGGAAGCAAATTTCGGCAAGGCGATGTTTATACACCCTTGCAGATGTTACAAATATGAAATATTTTATATTTTGATTTCGGTGCTTAGAACAATAAAGCTGGTCGATTTCCCGAACATTTTTTTGATGGCTATATGACTAGTAGACCGATTTTTAAAAAAATAAAAATGAAATCGTTAAAAACTACTATACCCCGGAATATATATTAAGAAACAACGAAGATAATATTTAACTTACCATTTTCTCGATTGTTTTTATGGCAGCTATATGATACAGTCGATCGATTTAAATAAAACTAAAACCGCAATTCTGAAATTGCTAAAAATACTATATTTTGGTGTATATGTATATATGTTAATGAACATCGAAGGTCTAAGTGTATTTCCTTTTTTTCTTTCGGTTCCAATGGGAGACATATGAATATGCCAACTTATATACCACCTGCTACAGAAAGAAGACTTTTTGCATAATTTCATCCAAATAGCTTTAAAACTGAGGGACAAGTTGTCATGGACTTACCTGGAATGGAATGGATTTTTACTTGAAAATTTACGGATTATTTACTTAGCTTTTAATCCCAGCTTTAAAACTGAGGGACTAGCTTCGTAGAATCGGACGGACCGACAGGCGGACGGACATTATTAGATCGACTCGTCTAGTGATGCTGATCAATAATATATATACTTTATAGAGTCGAAAATGTGCACATCCCTGAGTTGCAAGTTTTGACTAAAATTATTATACCCTCCGTAAGGGTTTAAAAATGATGGTATTATTTGTTTAAGCTATAAGCCCGAAATTCTTTTTATTTTTTTGATTTAAAAAGGCTTTGTTCAGCCTTAGTTACACTACACATTAGTAAACTAATGCACGCCAATAAATTAAATTCAATACCCCTTGAGCGATCTATAAATCATGACTGACTGAAATTAATGCATTACGGGTTTCTTTATTGGTCTATTTCCTAACGACCTTCGTAGGAGTTAATACGTTCGATAATCGGATCGTTGACCAGCTCCTTCATGTTCCTCGCAATGATGAAGTCCAAATGGTTGAAGCTCTGCAAGGGCACACGGTAGTCCTCCTTCAGATGGATGAAGTTCTTCACCAGAGTATTGACATCTTCGGGTCCGCACAGGGCATCGTTGTTGCTGGAGTACGAGTGCGTGGGAGCGGTGATCTGGGTGAGATCGTAGTCTGGCGGCAGATCCTGGCCGTAAATCTCGTTGTTCTTCTTGGTGCCCCAGTCGTACTGGCGGAACTCCTTGGACGCCCACAACTGCAGGTAGTGGATGCCCTGGTTGCTGGAGGAACCAGCCGGATGGGTCTCAATCAGGACTTTCATGGAGCTCTAGAGAAGAGGAGGATTATTTGTATTATTTTATTTTAACTCAATAATTATCCGAGTGGAATTATAAGACCTTTGACTGTGATCTTGAAATTTAATTGAAAATATTAATCCCATTTAAAATACCTTTTTGTGCAGACCCAATTCAAATCGCCAGTTGCACAATGTTACAAATCCCTTCCCAATTTGATTAAAATTTGGTTTAACTCACCACATTGACATTAACGTAACCGCCATTGGCGAACATGATGAAGGCGTTGTTGCAGAGCGCGCCACCCATATGGCAGCTATTGTCCACCACTCGGTTGACCAGGTTGTTGTGGGGGATCAGCTCGGTGTCCACCAGCAGTTGGTTCCAGATGCCGCCGGGAGTGCCCACCAACGAGCCCAGGGTTTTGAAGACGAAGGAGGTGCCGTGCTCGAAGTAGGCACAGGGGGCCACCAGGTGTCCGGACTTGATGAAGGCATTGTACTCAGGTCGCTCCGAGAGCATCACCAAGTAGACGGTGGTACCCTGCGAGTGGCCAGCGTAGTGGAGCTGTGAGTAGCCCGTGGTGTCCAGGATGTAGTCGATCATGGCGGGAATGTCGATGGTGCCGATCTCATGCCAGTCAAAGTGCCAGAACTTGTGGCTGTTCAGCGAGATGAGGTTGTTCTCCCGGGAGTAGATGTTGCCACGGGCATTGCCCAGCCAGACATCGTATCCGGCATCGGCCAGCAGATAGGCCAGGGAGTTGTCCGGGCCGGAGCAGAGCCAGCAGTCCGAGTTGCTGAACAGTCCGTGCTGCAGGAGAACCGGGGTGCGTGGCTCGTTCTGGTTCTTCAGCTTGTGGGAGTACGGAATGCGGAACAGGGTCAGCACGTAGCCATCCTCGGTGGTCACCACGTGCGTCTCCGTCGGATATCCGTGCGATCGGATCCTCTCGTCCGACTTGACGATCTCACTCAGACAGTATTCCGACTTCTCGGCGACGGCCAGACCCGCCACCAAACTGAACAATAAGGCGTAGACGATTGGATTCATTGTGGGCAATCGAGTTTGCTGGCTAACTGGCCGTGGGGCCTTCTTTATATAGTCGGTTCTTATCTGCTGGTCGAAACAGACCCCCGATTCGCTCCTGATTTATGGACATACCCCGGTTTAGCACACTCTAAGAATTGGTGGTGCGACTATTTGGCATTGATTTACCTACAATGACAAAATTTGGACCAGAATGGAATGGATTTTTTTTGAATATGGGTTATTATTTAATGTGTAACCTTTAAAAATAATATATACATATAATTGATAAAAAGGTCCAGTTAATTCTCTTCCATTTTAAATTAAAGTTTTTTCATCGCCTCAGCATGAAACAATTCTTTGTAAATGAAGTTTTATGGCTAATATATTTTATGGTTAAATAATGTCATTAAATCCAATTATTTTTCAAGTGCAGGAATGTCCCGATTATAGAGTTCCGGATTATTTTGACAGGGGCAAAAACCGCAATCAAGGGGGTCTTGTCTACAGCTCGGCGAAACCCTTGACTATTATAAAACATAATTTATTTTTAATTCAACCTATTTCACCTGATTTCTGTGATAAATATACGACGGGAGGCTTTCCAAAGCGCAAGTGTTCATATGACGTTTGTTATTATTTTTGGTTTGTTGGCCCCTGTTCTTGGACATTATTAAATAGATTGTGATGAAATAGCGCTTAGGTAAAAAACATTCAGTAATCCGAGTTATTGAATGATATTTCATTTTTTATATAAAATAAGGTGCTCATTTAAGTTTATTATACCCGTTACTCGTAGAGTAAAAGGGTATATTGTATTCGTGCAAAAGTATGTAACAGATAGAAGGAAGCGTTTCCGACCCTATAAAGTATGTATATTCTTGTTCAGGATCACTAGCCGAGTCGATCTAGCCATGTCCGTCTGTCCATCTGTCTGTCTGTCCGTATGAACGCTGAGATCTCGGAATCTATAAAAGCTAGAAGATTGGCATTTTGCATGTAGATTTTAGGAGTTCCTACGCAGCGCAAGTTGGTTTCAAAATGGTGCCACGCCCCCTCTGACGCCCACAAGCCACAAGCTGTGGCCACAGTTTTGATGCTATTATGAAAATTTTAATTGATATGTATTTGTTTCGTTAATACCTATCGATTGGCCTAATAAAAGTTTGACACGCCCACTCTAACGCCCAAAAACCCATTAAACGCTTTCAGCCTTTCATGGCCCGTGGTACCAAAATTTTTTTATAATATGTATATACTTAAATTAAACAAAATTTTTTTTATACAAAAAAACGCCAAAAAACCCCAAAAAAAAACTAATTAGTAAGGTCAAATAAGTATTAGTAGTATTAGTAGTAAGTACATAAGTATGCCTTCCGTATGTTAGGGATAAACAAAATGTTGGGGAACATGGAGATTCCAAACTTGAATAAAGTTTGGCAACTCAAGTCGACTCGTAAGACCCCGTTGCAAATCAACGGCCTCCACGTGGTGTTCCCTGGGTACCGATTTTAACATAAAAATCGGGAGCTAATTTGAGCGGCGAAAAACATACAAGAAGGCATATTTATATTAAGTTGTTTAGCTGAGTAACGGGTATCTAATAGTCGAGGCACTCGACTATAGCGTTCTCTCTTGTTTTTTTATCGGCTGGATCTAATGCAATGCATTTCACCCATAGTTATGTGCCCAGTTGGCTACAACCAACCCGCTCGACCCACCAAGCCTATGGTTTAGCCGATTGTTAAGATGTTGCTGCCCATTTTCCTGCTACTCTGTATTGCCACCAGTTTGATCAAAGCCGAAAGTTGTCCTCCCTCGCAGGCTATTTTACCCTGTCGCTGTTCGCTGAGAGGAAAGGAAATCCAGATATGGTGAGTTGCTAAGTTTTGCATACACATTCCCTTACAACACATTTATACCATTAATTGACAAAAACTTGAAATGGGAAAATCATTGTTTTTTAAATCATTATAATTTCCTAAAATTTCTGCAAACATAATCCGCTAAAAAGCTCATTCAAAATACCCATGGATTAAATGCCCATCTCGATAATTTACTAAAAAATCTCGGAAAATATTTGTTTCCTTCAAATATTGGAGCTATTTAAAAACGTTTTTAAACATTCTTTAAAGAAATTCGATGAATTAACAGATTTAAAAAGGTTTTCCAAAAGGTTATTATAAAGTGTTAACAATCTCTTCTTGGAAATTTTAGCTGGAAGAGATTCCGGTTTGGATTTCATTCAGGTTTTTTATGGAATTATAATTTAAAACATATATCCATTGCGTTATTCCAATCAGGTGCTCGCACAGCAACCTGCCGCAGATCATGGACGGCCTGAAGGCCGTGGAGCGGAACATCAAGGGGCGAATCGATGAGCTGGTGCTGGAAAACAACCAGTTGCCAGCGCTACCAGGACGCTTCTTCGGCAGCCTGCAGATCGTGCGCCTGATGCTGCGTCACAACAGCATTGAAAGGGTGTCCAACGGGTGGCTCAATGAGCTGGAGAACGGCCTGGTGGAGATCTTCTTGGTGGAGCCCCAACTACGCAGTATTCCGGCAGAGAGTCTGAACGGGATGATCAACATGCTGGCCATCACCATCCAGAGTGATGAGCTGAAACACCTGCCGGATTTCTCGGGGCTGCTTAGTCTCACCTACCTGAGTGTCCAGACGAGTGCTCTCCAGGAGCTACCTTCCCATCTTTTTAGACACCTTCCCAAGTTGCAGCACATCCACATAACCGGAGGTGGAGGACTCACCCGCTTGGAGGCGGGTCTCTTTGATGGCTTGATCTCCCTCAAGAACCTGGATCTATCGCACAACGGCCTCAACTGGATTCACTTGCGTGCCTTGTCCAGATTGCCCAACTTGGTTAGCTTAAAGCTTTCCTATAACCAAATAAGTGACGTGGGCATGGTGGGTCGCATTGTTAAGGATCTGGAGCATCTGAAGAAACTGCGACTGGACCATAACCTCATCACTGTCATAGAAGATGGCTCTTTTGTGGATCTACCTAATCTTTCAGAGCTTCACTTAAACGATAATAGGATCACGGAACTGCAGTACGGAGCCTTTCTAGGCACTCCTCAATTGAAAACGATCTATTTGCAGAACAATCTAATCCGGCGGATTCATCCGGAATCCTTGCTGCAAGCGAGTGGCAGTGGTGTGGAGGCTGTGCACATTTACAACAATGAGATCGGTCATGTGGAGGTTTTGAGGGCTTTGCTGGATGCACTACCCACCCTTCGCTATCTGGACATGAGTGGTAATCTGCTGAGTGAGCTACCCTATGGAGCTCTTCGTGGTCATGGCACTCTGGAGCAACTTCATCTGAATCACAACCAACTGGGGCTCATTGAAAGGGATGCTTTGATGGCCATGCCAGCTTTAAGGGAACTGCGAATGAGAAATAACAGCCTGTCTTCGGAATTACCTTTGCCATTTTGGAATCTACCTGGCCTAAAGGGCCTTGATCTGGCGCAGAACCAGTTTGGCAGGGTGGATTCCCAGTTGCTGGCGGGACTTCCTTCTTTAAGACGTCTAGATCTCAGCGAGAATGGTCTAACCGAAGTAGCGCCCAATAGTTTTCGTCACAATCCCCTCCTCGAAACGCTCAATATATCCTCTAATGAGCTGACCAAAATCCACTCTTCGACCCTCATTCATTTGGAGAGGCTTTTTGAAGTGGATGCCAGCTACAATCAGTTGAAAACGATGATCGCAGGACTTCCAAGGATTGTGGAGCGTATCTCGCTGAAGGGTAACCACATCGCATCACTACCAGCAGCTGCCAGCAAGGATCTGCAGTTGCCCAATTTGAGGATGCTGGATCTTAGTCAAAACCGAATAGAACAACTGCCCAGGCATGGTTTTCAGGGGGCATCGGAGCTGAGGGTCTTGAGTCTGGCTCAAAATGAGTTGCGTCAGTTGGAGGACACGTCATTTTTAGGAATTCAACGTCTGGAGTTACTGCATTTGCAAGAAAATCAGCTGGGTGAAGCGGATGAGCGGGCTTTGTTACCCCTCGCAGAATTGCGGAATCTTAACCTTCAATCCAACAAACTGGAGGCCATCACGGACAATTTCTTCTCTAACAACAGCAGGCTTGAGCAGCTGGATCTGTCTAGGAATCTAATACGCAGCATCTCCCCCACGGCTTTTGATACCCAGAGATCTCTCGAGTATCTGGATCTTTCGGGCAATGCCCTGCTAGATATTTCCGTTGGATTGGGGAATCTGAACAATCTGAGGGACATTGATCTTAGCTATAATCAGATCTCCCGTGTTCAATCCGATGTGATTGGTGGATGGCGAAATGTAGTGGAGATCCGTTTGTCCAATAATCTCATTGTAGAACTCCAGCAGGGTACCTTCCGGAACCTACCTAAGTTGCAATATCTCGATCTTAGCAGCAATGAGATCCGTAATGTGGAGCCGGGAGCTCTAAAGGGACTCGATGAACTGCAGGAGTTCGTCCTGGCCGACAATAAGTTGGTGGAGCTGAAGGATCACGTCTTTGAGGAGCTACCTAGCTTGTTGGCCTCCCACTTTCAGTACAACAAGCTGCGCTACATATCTCCAGAAAGTTTTCACAACGCCAACTCTCTGGTGTTCCTGAATCTGTCCAATAATCATTTTAGGAATATGGAGAATATTGGTCTTCGGAGCATGCGTAATCTGGAGGTTTTGGATCTGTCTACCAATGGTGTCAAATTGGTTTCCACGATGCCCCTGAAGGCGCTTAACTGGCTGGTGGAGCTCAAAATGGACAACAATAAAATATGTCGTATTCAGGTGAGATTGGTAACTGGTTTAATGCAAGTTCAAATATTTTTAATCTTTTTGTAAAACAGTTAAACCTATTTATAACCTTTTTTCGTTCAGGGAGCTCCATTTGAGACGATGCCACGTTTAAGAGTCCTTTCCATGCGAAACAACCAACTTAGGAGCATAAAAGAGCGAACATTCCGAAATGTGCGGGGAAACATAGCCATTTTGGATGTGGATGGTAAGATCCCTACAGATACACATAACTAAAATCTTAAGACAACAACTAGAGTTATAACATTTATTTTCTTTATAACAGGCAATCCAATTGACTGCAATTGCGAGATGCAGTGGCTCTCGGTGTGGCTGCAGGAAACTAACTTCCCGTATCCGGGACCCAAGTGCCAGGATGGACGCCTCCTGAGAGCGGCCCGCATGGAGAGGAGTCTTTGCGTTGGTCCGGATATCTATGGAAACGAGCGGACCGATGGAAATCAGTTGCCACTGCTTAACGAGCACGGTGATGTCTTTCAGCGGGATTTGCCCGACGATTTCAACGACGAGTGCGAGGCGAACGAGGGTACCAGACAACCCGGAGATCGACCTCTTGTGGGGGAGAGTGAGTACTTCTACGATCAGTATGTGGACGCCACTGAGGCACCAGATACCACCAACTCCGTGATCAGTACTTCACAGCGTCCCAAGCCGATTCCCACGCTAAACAGCAACATAGATCTGAATAATACAGTACTCCATACGAAATACTTTAATCGAAGACCGCAGCCGGGATCTGGATCACCCTTCACTTTCTTCGGATATCCCCTGCCCAGTGTGAGCTTGGGTCGCTTTTTCGGTTTCGGGGATCGAGGGCGAAAGCAGCGCACAGATGGTATCGATGAGATGCCCGCTACCCATCGGATGGCCCACATTAGCCTGCCTAGTGGACGTGGAAAAACGAGAATGTATCAACCCAATAGCGCCGAATTCGAGAAGTATCTGAAGGATCAGCAGCAACAGGAGAAACAAAATATAGCCAGGAATCGTTATGTAGACACTGAGTCCACTACTTCATCCGTGGAGGATGCCCTGAGTAATGAGAGTGGGAGTGCTGCCACCACAGTGGGTGTCTTCCGCACCACCTTTCGTGAGCCATCGAGCATCGAACGCGGTGGTTTCCGTCCCATCGTTCCAGCCCATGTCGGTGGTTTTATGCCTGTGCATGATCCTCAGCAGCGACGTGGCTTGGTGGAGGCGGTGAATGTCACAGGAAAACCACCGGAGATGGTCCAAGGCAAAGGTGAGAGGAAGTTTATTCCCATCTCAGTTCAGGCGAGACCTAAGCCCACCAGAAGTAGTGGTGAAAGTTCAGAGACAGCTACATATGATGTCACAGAAACCACTGCCGATGTGACGACCACAACGCCTCTGATGCAGAAAATAACCACCAGTACAACCCGAGCATCTACAACGACGACGACTAGAAGAACCACGACCACTACAACCACTAGTAGTACCCAGGTCCCTACTTTAAATGATGCCTCATCGAGTAGTGAACAGGAGCAGGAGTCGCAGTACGATGACGACGATTTGGAGGCACAACCTGTAACTCTGCTTAGGCCTCCTCCTCTGGTGCAGACAACCACGGCGGAGACGATCCTGTTGATTCCTCCGGCTGAAGAGCATGTGGCGCAGATCAAAAGCCGCTCCTGGATGACCACCACGACGCCTCAGAGTCCGAGTGACTATCAAGTAACTCCTGCCCGTCCGACAAGCACAGTGCCTACAGTCCCACCACAGCCTCCTCCTTCTCCACCATTACGAGGTGGAGGACGGTCCACCATCACTAAGGTGTACACGCCCTATCAGCAGCAGGTGGCTCAGCCGACCGCGGAGGAGTACCAGCGCACCACGCCCAGTGCGGATAACGAGGGCGTGGCCAGCGAGCATCAGCTGATGGCGAATGCCCAGAAGCGCACGGAGCTGGAACTTCTTCAGGTGGATCGATTGGATCGCAAGGACGGGATGGATTGGTACTACGAGAGCTTCAAGAAGAAACGCGACTTCAACGGCGGTGCTGCTGTGCGGAAAACAGCCCATAAGGAGGTGTACTACGATGGCATAGGTGCTTCGTCCAGTTGGAATCGATTGGGCAAGAAGGAGATCCTGTTTCTGAGCTTGTTATTGTTGTGGGGAACGTGTTGAACAGTTTTCTAAGATCTTCGATTTAGACAGTTAAAATATTTTATTGTATGCTTTAATAAAAAGTTTATTTTGTATATTAAATTGACTTTTCTGACATGATTCCGTTGCAGCACCTGGAAATGTAAAAAAAAAGGTTTTAAATATATTTTAAAATCATTAAGAGATTTTATTTTCAAGTAGTTGGTCAGATGGTGATGCATGTTAAAATGATTTCAACATAAATGCTCTGAGTTGGGTATGAAATTGTCATCAGTAAAAAAGAAAAGTAAAAAATGAACTAAATGTGGATATTACCTTTTGATTGGTGCAAACAGTACGCAGTAATAACTGTGGAATTTTTGATGCCTTTGCCTGCAAAGATAAAAAAATATTGGTTAGTAATCCTTTATTTAATTTACAGAATTAAGTTTTTATAGATTATTCAGATGGTGATGCATGTTAAAAAGATTTCAACATAATTTCTCTGAGTTGGGTATGAAGTTGTCATCAATAAAGGATATAAGTTATAAATTGAAAGTAAATTTATCAGGAGAATTACCTTTTGATAGATCCAAACTTTAAGCACATGTGAATGGCTTGAAGGTATTATGCTTTGGCATTGCCTGTAAAATTAAAAAAAAACTTTGGTTAGTTATGCACTTTTGAAATAAACCGAATTAAATATGTATAGTTTATTCAGATGGTGATGCATGTTAAAAAGATTTCAACATAATTTCTCTGAGTTGGGTATGAAGTTGTCATCAATAAAGGATTTAAATTACAAAATCAAATTGAATTGAACACATGTATTACCTTTTAATTGGTCCATGCTATATTGACTTTAAAATCTTTTAAAGATCTTTTCCTTTGGCATTGCCTGCAAAATTAAAAATAAACTTTGATAAGTAATGCACTTTTAAGATTTAAAGAATTAACTATGTAGAGTTTATTCAGATGGTGATGCATGTTAAAAGGATTTCAACATAGTTGCTCTGAGTTGGGTATGAAGTTGTCATCAATTTAAAATTTATAGAAATAAAAGTTCTGTTATTTGGAATTAATTACCTTTTGATAGATTCAAACATATGAATGTGTGAGCAAGTCTCCTTTTGCATTTCCTGTAAAATTTAAGAAAAACTAGTTTACTTTCTCATATTTTTAATAATAAACGCTAAATATGAATTTTTATTCAGATGGTGATGCATGTTGAAGAGATTTCAACATAATTTGTCTGAGTTGGGTATGAAGTTGTCATCAATTCGGGGATTAAAAACAATTATGTTAAAATAGGATCATTACCTTTTAATGGATCGAACAATCTACTAGGTTATAAAGCTTCAGTCATTGCATTTGAAAAGTTTATTCACCTGCAAAGATAATTACATTTAAGAATTTTAATTTGAAAGACACGTTTGTTCCTTAAAAACTCATTCAGATGGTGATGCATGTTAAGTATTTTTCAACATCATTTCTCTGTATTGGGTATGTTTATGTCATCATTAGAGTTGATAAAGAATATAAAGTGATAACTCTTGTTATTTAATTACCTTAAAAAATTGAAAATTTCAAAGTGCCCTTAGGTGTCTCACATTGAACCACGTGGTGCTCCATATTAAATTCAATCTTTCTCAGGGTTTTCATTTTGTTATGCGGCCTATGACATAAGTTCTTATAAACGATATTTGCGTAATAAGTTGAGCATCGAATGTGCTAAATGTCAGATGGATCCTGCCCATTTTTAATACAATTAATAAAAACGTACAGCACGCCGACGACCTTAACCAAAAGAAATTAGGAAGGGAAGAAGGCAGAAGGTTGCCGGATAGCCAAGTAAATGAAATGTTTAAGGGATGCCAGAAAGTCTCACTGGGTGTTTTTGAAAAATAAGTATCGGTAAATATGTATAGTTTAAGATCTCATTTTGGTAAGCTGTTTGATCAGACCGGAAACTACGCTTGATTTTAATAAAAACGAGGACGGAAGCTAACCTTGGCAAGCCGAAGTTTTAATACCCTTGCAGACTTTGCAAAAAAAAAAATTGAAAAAGTAGCTTATACAAAAAAATAATACTTTACACATAAATAAATTAGATTTGCATAGTTTTATGTCAATAATTTTTATACTGCAAAAATGTCATTTAAAAATTTAAAAAAGGCATATTTTCGCAGCCTTTAACAATTTTTCCTACTGAATCTATAAGATAGACGTCCGATAGGCAAGCGCTTTTACCCTGATCAAGGTATACGTAGATAAATAAGACTTGGAAAAAATTATTTCAATAGCTTATACACCTCGCTAAATATTCTGAAAAACATCAAATTTGGACCGATATCACCCTATTGTTCATATGGGAGCTATAGGATATAGACGTCCGATCGGCACGCGCTTTTACCCTGATCAAGGTATGCATAAAAAATACGATTTGGAAAGATTCATGTCAATAGCTTTTACACTGCGCGAAATATCATCAATTCTTGCAAGGTATATCCGATTGTTCCTATGGGAGCTATAGGATATAGACGTCCGATCGGCACGCGCTTTTACCCTGATCAAGGTATGCATAAAGAAATACGATTTGGAAAGATTCATGTCAATAGCTTATACGCTGCGCGAAATATTCTATAAAACATCAAATTTGGAACGATATCACCCTATTGTTCCTATGGGAGCTATAGGATATAGACGTCCGATCGGCACCCGCTTTTACCCTGACCAAGGTATGCATAAAAAATTACGTTTTGAAAAGATTAATGACAATAGCTTTTACACTGCGCGAAATATCATGAATTCTTGCAAGCTATATCCCATTGTTCCTATGGGAGCTTTAGGATATAGATGTCCGATCGGGGCGATTTAGTTAGCTCCCGTCCTCGTTTATAATAAGAAAGAAGTTTTCAAGATCGAATTTCCATTTTTTGACAAACCTTATGTTTTTATTAAGACACAAATATACATATATGTTGTATGATCTTGCTTTGACTTTCATATATTAGCAATTTCTATTGCCTTTGATCTTACTTTTCCATCTATGAGTAAGTATATAGGTTCATATTAATGTGTGATCTGTTTGTATAATCAGATGATTGAGCTTGTCTGCGATCAACGCGTCGTATGCGCAATTTGAGTTAAAAACTCATACATGGATGGGCAGAATGTGAGTGAGTGATTTAATTGGAACTCAACTCAGTGGCTCAGAAACGGCATCTAGAATAAAATAGAATACAGACATTCGGGTCAGTTCAGTTCACAGTCGTTGCGATTAACGTTATCAGGTTCCACACACAAAATGCTTACCCAGTTTTTCTGCCTTGCCACACCTTTCTTGCTAAATCGTTTGCAACTTACTCAGGCAATGCCCAATAATAATAACAATTACATATATCAAACCGAAGACTGTGGCCCAGGTATCACGGCAGGAAATAAGCCTTCGATTGCCCCAACCACAGTGAAACCACAGAGAGTAGTACCAGGTTGGCTGATGCATAAAATGCTTAAGCTAAATAATTAATGCTTATTTAAAAAATTACCTATATCTTGGCTCTAAAATAATATGAGAGAGCGGTGCTTAACTATAATTTAATTTAAACACTTCGGCTAAATCTAATGTTTTATACTTATTTAACAGATCCCAAATGCCTGCTGCCCATGGAAGTGGGTCCTTGTCGCATGAATCTGGAGAGGTTCTACTACAACAAGGATAAAAAGGCATGAGCGACCTTTAAGTACGGTGGATGTCGAGGCAACGACAATCGCTGGGGCTTCCGGCAGACTTGCGAAGAGGCCTGTCTCCCAAACAAATGAATAAGTTTGGCAAACACGCTACACAAAGTACTTAAAGTGGTACGTGAGTGGTTCAGTATCAGTTCGGAGGGATAGATTTAAGCCCCAGAACTCGACGAATCTGAAATCATTCGCAGCCACTCAACAGAATCGAAATGTGCTACAGATATAGCTTTAGCTTTATTACAGTCGTGGTTCTGCTTCTGGCAGCAGGAATCCGCGGAGCTCCTTCGGATGTGTCGGTGGAAAAGGCGGAGGATCCCAATGCCCCGGAGGACTGCCACCAGCCGAAGGAAACTGGCCGCTGTTTCGCCCTGTTCTCCCGATACGCCTACAATGTGGATACCCAATCCTGCGAGGAGTTCGTCTACGGAGGCTGTGCCGGCAATAAGAACAACTTTGAATCCAAGGAGCAATGCGAACAGGTCTGTTTGGCCCCATCCATAACAGAAGCGGTCACCGATAACTACACACTGAGACCGAATTGATTTAATTTAGTTTTTAATACTTAACACTTCGTCACCCAACTTTATACCCAGTGCAATCGCAACACATTACATTACTGAGTTAACTATTTTAATAAAATGATTTGAAAACTTAAGAACGAAATAAAATATTGAGTTTTAAATATGTGTGTCATAGCAGAAAATAAATTTAAAAGGTATATAATATACGAATGCGAAAATGGTTTATAAGGGTTTATATGGAGTTTGGTAAAATGTAATAGAAAGTAAAACGATTTTATGAACTTAGCAAATTTATATATTTCTGATTGCACCTGAATTTCGGAAGGGAAATGTGTTATATAACTATTTAATAAACACATTTTATGTGTACATGAGGTATTCAAATAAATTTATAATCTATTCCCGCAACACAATTTGCTCAGGAATAATAATCAGCGAATATATTATATAAACTTTAAAGTAAGCATAAATTAAATAGCGTAAAGAAAACCTTATACATAAATAAATTAAATTTGCATAGTTTCATGTCAATAGTTTTTATACTGCAAAAATGTCATATAACAAGAAAGGAAAGCTAACTTCGGACGGAGCCGAAGTTGATATACCCTTGCATTTTGTAAATTATATTCTCCAAAATTATTCATATGATGCATTCTTAATACTCATAAAAAATCCCAACTTCCTAACTTAAAGAACACCAAAGTTATGGCATTTCCGATCGTTCAGTTGATTGGCCAAAAATAAAACAGATAGAAAATCCCAACTTTACAAACACCAAAGTTATGGCATTTCCGATCGTTCAGTTATATGGCGGCTATAGGATATAGTCGGCCTTTCCCGGCCTTTCTGACTGACTTTATACTGCGTGCAAAGGAACGAAGGGTGTGTGCAAAGTTTCAATTCGATATCAAGAATAAAAAACTAAATTAAGATTATCAAAGTCTATAAACAAATAGAACAATAACACATACACAACAGTGTAACTATATATGGTTGTAATTATTTGTAATAACGCACTATGGGACCAACGACAACTTTTGTTGGCCAAAATTAATAAAACTTTACCAATCATTTTTTCGTAACCTTAGGCAACATATATGTTAAAAAGAATAGGATCGAACGAATATATCCCATAGCTGCCATACGATCGATTTATTCAACTTTGTTGTTTTTTAAGATAATTGAATAATTATTTATTTTTTTTTGTATACTTTATAAATACATTTATATTATAATATTTTATATTTTTTATATCTGCTTCTGTATAGAATTCAAAATGCAAAACAAAATGTTTTTCGTTCCACAAAGGTTCAATGTAAATGCACGAAAATCGGATTAAAATAATTTTATTAATAAGTAAAAAAATGGGACCTGCTATTAAACATCATGCTCTTCGGATTCTAGTTCAATATTTCATTGAAAATCAAAAGGATTCTAATATTCAACGCAACTACTGTTAAGGTTGCAAAACTTGAGGTTATGTGCTTAAAATTAAAATTTCGTAAAAAGTGGCAATAAGTGGCGATTCTAACCATATACATTTTAAAAAGAATTTAATACTCTACAAATCTCAATAGGTTTCAGAAGTGGACTCCGCTGGACTCACTTTGTTGCTCTATTTAAAAATTAGTTTTCTATTTAAAAAACGCGTTTTAGGCAACTCACTTTATCACTTAAGTTCAAAGACAGCACGATAGATTTCAACCGTTTAAACACATAAACACTAAGTACACACCACCATTCATCGAATTCATATCACAAAAATTTTTTGGAACGCCTTTAAACTGCTTTTTTAAACACTTTAAAAATGCAATTTAAAAGTCGAATTTCAAAAGCACGTGGCTTGCATCTTAAACATCTGATTTAACAGCTGTTATCTTAACAGAAGCGCACTCTATCGGAATTCCTGATACGTAACATTGCAGATTGGTCTTCTGTTAATATATCCTAAAACAACTTTTTTGGTTTTGACGACTTTTCAAAAATGGGTTTTGGCCAACGAATGTGGTCGTTGGCCCCATAGTGTAACGGGTTTAAGGTATACTCCTGGAAAGGGTAATTTGTGTTTGTACAACATCGATTCGAATACGATAGTTCTGCCGCAGATCGCACATCTCTAGAGCGCGCTGCCACCTTGTGCAAATTGGCGCAATTTAAACAAAAATAAAGAAAAATCACAGTTACATCCGCGAGAGGCACGCCAAAAGATAAATACGAAGAAATCCGAGTGGCTAGTAAGATACAGCAACCGCCTACGCACACATCAGTGAAACTGCAGTGAAGATATAGCGAAGCATCCTAGTGGTAAGTACGTCAGGTGCAGGGCGGCGTAAAAATGTTTACACAATCCTGATGCGTATGCGATTGGTTTTTTCAGAGCCCCGCATCGAAAATTGTAATTGCAATCTGCAATGACGACTCCGCTGCAGACACGAATGGCGCTGGCCGAAATTCCGGATCGACTGGAGGCGCTGCGCATGGCCAACACCCCGACAAACGCCAATCGCAGGACTCCGGATGAGCCGACTCCGGCGGCCATAATAAACACTCCGAATGCCAATGGAGGATTGGGTCTGCGGGTGGACAACGACGTGAATGTGGTGCAGGCCCAGGATTTCGTCTTCTCGCCACTGCCCTCGCCGGATGAGCTGGTCATCCGACAACGAGGTCGCCGGCGCTTCACCACCACCTTTTCGCCGGATAAAGTCAATGGAGGTGGTGGCTCAGGAGGGGCTTCCGGTGGCTCCTCCATGCGAAGTCCTTTCCAACGCACGCCCACCAAAAACCTACAACTGACCAGCGGCATGATCCTGCGCAGCTCCCCACGCAAGCGGCTGACAATGGGCAGTACCCCCCCGGAACCCACGCCCATGGAGACCTATTCGCCCATCAAGATGGCCACAACCAAGCAACTCTGGCCAGGAACGCCCATAGTAAAGAAGCTGAAGATGGACGACCGTCCTGTGGGACAGACGAACACCGATGCGACTTTACCTTCCCTGCTGCAGGGTCTTTCCCAGGACCAACTAATCGAATTAATCATGAACAACCTGAAGACTGTCAGCGATGAGGACGAGATCAGGAGGCAGCTGCCCACGCCAGATATTAGGTAAGTTTATATATACTAAATTTGGTGGTATCTGTTCCATTTTTTAATTAGAAAAGGGAAAAAATGTTTGAAATTTGTTTTTCTTGCTAAATGTATTGTAATATTAGTCAAAAGTTTGTAATGTAGTGAAAGAGTCCCTTCCTATAAGATATTCTTGATAAATATCAATTGAATCAATCCGTCCGTCCGTTTATCCGCAAACTATTTTATTATATACATAGTTGCCATAGGAAAAGTAGTTGAAAAACACAATGCGATATATGGTGATTTTTTACAATTATAGAAATGCGGTTTTTAATTTTATAAAATCAGATCAGACTATTTTATAAAGCTTACATAACAAATTTTCAAAAATAAATAAAAATATTTTTTTATCCATATATGCATATACTTCGAGATATAGTAATCTTTAAAATATTACTATACACAAATATATTAAAATATCAAGATAACCCTTTTCCCTAAAAAAATTACAAAATGTATTATAGTTTCCTTTCTTTCTTGTTATATACTTTTTAATCTAAAGAGATTAGACTTTGTCATATAAAAATTAGGGTCGTAACAATGACTATGTGAAATATATGTTATGTTATGTGCTTGTATCCCAATGTTTTGGATATATTAGACCCTTTCAATAATGCAATTTGATTTTAAGCGTAAATAAATAAATTGGGAATCCATGACATTACTACTGACCAATAGCAAATCTTGGTTTTATAGTAGCACATTGAAATTGATTAACCTTATATCTTCGGGAATCCAAATAGATAAAAATATGTAAAAACGACAACTTTCCTGCCCTACTTTACAGTTCGCTGGAGCAGGAGCTGCACCATGCCAAGCGGCTCATCTTCAAGTCCCTGCCTACCTCTCGCTTGTGTAAGAAGACGGATGCGGCGGCCTACTCCAAGGCGTCAATGCATCTCAACGAATTTAAGCGCGTTCTGCAATCTCAGGCCAAGCGGCTGCACGACTCGACTCACTGGGACGCCCTGGTGGACTATGTCACCGTTGCCTGGCAGTGTGTGGCCAGCACCCCCAACTGGGAGAGCCACGCCCACAATGCTGTGCGGCGGCAATGCTTCAAACTCTTGGCCTGCTCCTGTTACGCGGCCATAAAACACGGCGGAATGCGATTGGGACAGACGCGACTGGAGACACTAGAACGCAATTTGCGGGAATGGTCTAAGGACTACGAGGACGTGTTGTCCTGTGTTAATGCCTTGCAGCGTACACTTAACAACCGTTCCAGCTTATAAACACAATGGAGACTATAGACTTAAGGGCGACTTGCTGAACTCGAGGTTTAGTGGACCGAATCTAGAAAATAAGTCGAAATTTAGCATGTAAGCGAACGATATTTGGCGCGGCACGTGTTATAAACTATTTTTAATTTTGTTCCTCGATATGTTGTCCTATTTAAAATGCACGTAAGCAATTACAGCTTCTTTATTTAGTGATCTAAGCCACACGCTAACTAAAGTCGGTTAGCTTTATAAACTTGTATTTATTAACGCTTAAATATATGCTTAGCAAGTAGGTTTGATTACCATTGGACATTGTTTGAACTAAGTACACTTATTCGAATGCATTTACGGCTAGATCCTACTTCGCTATGACTATGTTGTACAACATTCACACGATGACTTCGCTCTTGACGTCTCGAACTTTAACAATATATCCGTCTTCTACTTATCCAGTGCAGTACACTGAATGCAGAAAGCAGCAGAACTAATATTTTTGGTATGTGCTGAATCCCAGAGCTCCCGGAAATGTGTCGCCCTGAAAATAGTGAGAGAAAACACGGGTTAAATTTTTGATTTATTTTTCACTTCGCTTAGTAATCTTAATGAAATTTAATATCATGGGGCTGCTGTAAAACATTCGAGAGAACATTTTCGTAATTTGTTATTCCAGCTTTACTCATATTTATTTATGAGCTGGCCCTCAATTTAGCTAAAGTGTTGTGTTTATTATGATAATCTGCTCGAAATTTTCTTGGTATAAACTACGCACAACGGTAATATACATACATCCAAGGCCAATTACCCTTTTCAAAATTTATAGTTGATCATATTTTAAGGCCTTAAAAGTTTGTTGTTACATTTTATGATTAAGAACTCTCTCTTGACGCCCAGTAGCAAATGTGCTGTGAGCGCTTTCAATTAGCGTTATAAACTAAATATAATTAGCATGGTTCGATTTTCTGCCAGCGGAGAGTATTGACATGATCTCTTGGCCATTGTTGCTGTTATTTCTGGTATGTGTATGTTTATAGAAGGCGCCGTGTGGAAACAGAATGATCGAAAAAATGTATTTACATTATTAAATTAGCATTGCTTTGTTAATCCCTCCCCATGTGTGAGTGGCATGGGCATTTAGCATGGATATTGTGATTCCAGATGCAATGACTATGAGCGGAGCCCCATGAACGCCTCATTGGGAGTGAAGCATGAGAGTTTCCAAATATACCTTATACTTACACTTCTTGATCCAGATCTCAGCGCAGCAGCACTCCTTGACCGCAGCAAATTCAAAACAGGAGTCAACGTAGGGTGTGTGCACTTTCTGATCCGCGAAGCACACATGAGGTACATAGGGAAGGCCCTCTGAAAAATAATAGAAAGTAGAAAAAATGTATTTCGAAGATAATTTATTTCTACTTTTTTAACAAATCCTCTCAAATACTAAAATAAATGAAGGTGTTCATATTATTACATTGAAATCTTCTTAAACGGTGCTTTTTATTTATTAGATAAATAACCTGTCTTCGAAATTGAAATCATTTTTCTTATTTGCGTAATTTCTAAAAGTGAATTTTATTTTTATAACCTACTGCTTAAAATATAGTGGGTTTTCATAAAAAAAATTAACCTTAGTCATCAATCGTATTTCTATATATATATATGCAAATCCAGCGTGACGAACGCTGCATATACATATATAGTACTCGCTTCGGGATGGCAATATTGAATTTTTTTAACTTTCAAAAGAGATTAACAGTTTTATGACCCCCCATACAAAAAGTGAAATTAGTGAACTTGAAAATTAGACCGTCATTTTGAATTTTTTAGAAAACATATTTTTTTCCATTTATTTGTTTCAAAAATAAAATTTTTATACCCTTGCAGAGGGTATTATAATTTTGGTCAAAAGTGTGCAACGCAGTGAAGGAGACATCTCCGACCCTATAAAGTATATATATTCTTGATCAGGATCACCTCCTGAGTTGATATAGCCATGTCCGTCTGTCCGTCTGTCCGTCTGTCTGTCCGTCTGTCTGTTTCTACGCAAACTAGTCTCTCAGTTTTAAAGCTATCGAGTTGAAACTTTGCACACAGCCTTCTTTCCTTTGCACGCAGTATATAAGTCGGAACGGCCGGGATCGGCCGACTATATCCTATAGCTGCCATATAACTGATTGATCGGAAATGCCATAACTTTCGTGTTTATAAAGTTAGGAAGTTGGGATTTTCTATGGGTTTTATATTTGGCCAATCAATCCGACCTACCAAATTTCATAAGGATCGGCCGACTATATCCTATAGCTGCCATATAACTGATTGATCGGAAATGCCATAACTTTGGTGTTTGTAAGGTTAGAAAGTTGGGATTTTCTATGGGTTTTATATTTGGCCAATCAATCCGACCTACCAAATTTCATAAGGATCGGCCGACTATATCCTATAGCTGCCATATAACTGAACGATTCGAAATGCCATAACTTTGGTGTTTTTAAAGTTAGGAAGTTTGGATTTTTTATGAGTATTAAGAATGCATCATAGGAATAATTTTGGAAAATATAATTATAGAGTATTCTGCAAGGGTATATCAACTCCGCCCGAAGTTAGCTTTCCTTTCTTGTTAAACTTTTGTTTTACTTTTTTTAAACCCAACCCTTGACCAAGAGCCGGAAAAACATTGAAAAATTCTAATTATGAGTAATACAATTTTGTTTACAATTCTATTATTGAATTCATCGATTTAAAGTACATACTAAAACCGGTAGAGCAATAAACGAATTTAGCATATTAGCATCGCATTTTATTTGGGTTGCTCATTCATAATTCTCTTCAATACTATTGAGTATTTGTGTAGCAGATTTCGCTGGAAAAATTAAAATCTAAATTCAATGTGTTGCCCCCATTTTGAAATCAAGTGCTTAACTTTTATAATAGAAAACACTTAATTTAAAGACACAATTTATGAAACTTGTTCGCTTTGAGTAGAAACGGAAATCAATAAAATAGAATATGTTTATTAGGAGCTGCGCACGAAAAATCTACAATAATTTTGAAGAAAATATAAACTGTGGCGAGTGACTAAATATGAACGGCATTGTTTTTCGATCGGATCATAACATATGCCTGCATTATTTTTCGTTTGGCCTGTTTATAGATGCCTATTTGTTTACAAAAACTCAACGTGTTGAATTTAATGAAGTTTCGTGTCTACAAAATTTAGGAACATAGAAGGCCCACACAGAATAGTTTTTGATGGTGCGTGTCGCAGATATTTATGCAATTAAATAATTATTAGTTAATGAAAGCAGACACGGCGCTAGGAGTGTAATATGTTAGGTCAAATCGGTGCCTACTCTGGCAGTTGTTAGTAATCTCTAGAGACGACTGACAAGTCGAGGACAATGAGGTACAAATACAAAACGACAGATTGTTGAAAAAGAAAATGCATATTGAGTGTGATTGATTAAACGAGGCAACAAATATGTGGTTATCACTGAATCGATCTATACAGTGATTATTTTCAAAGCTGTTATGATTCACATTTACCCTGTCGTCATTTGAATAATTATTAAAATGATAAATGGATGAAGCTCCTGCCTGGTGGAAATATATAAAAGAACATCGAAATAGCTGTCAAACTTAATGGTATACAATTATGGAAATATTTGAATCGGGCGCTATAAGCGGCACCTGAAAGTGGTGATCATGAAATAAAGGTGTAGCCACCCACCCTGTTGCCTGGAAAGGTGTTTTTCGATTGTTATTTCAGGCACGTTCCTTATTGATTGGATTTGTTGCCGGTAGTAGGATTCGCCTGCAGCATACTAAAGAAAACTCGTAAGCCGCAAAAAAAAGTCTGAGTCAATAATAATATAATACTTCTCTGGTTATCTTTTACTTGCGTTACAAACAGTCAGAGCATTTATATTTTACAATGCCTGAGATTTTGCACTATTTAAAAAGTGGGATTTACATTGCCAACACTGATTAAAAGTTTTAAGAATTTTATGATAAAATTCACAAGGCTGTTGACCAAGTTGAGTGTAAAGTAAACAGGAAAAAGGGCCTGATATTTGAGGTATTCCCTATCTTACGTCAATATACACCTAACAACCCCAATAACTCATTTAACCCATCGAGATAGCGATTCTAAGAACTCGATCATTTTTATTTAACATTGATAACGGTAATAAAAAATACAGTTTTTGCCAAGAGACCTTAATGGGCTAACGACCTACTCAAATGCATAATAATCCAATAGCAAAGTGAAATTAACAAAATTGAATTTAATGAGTGACCAACACAATACAATTCGAAGGCGGGAGCACTCGAAAAGGAAAACTACAGGGGCATGGAAAACTGCACGCCTTGAAGAAAATCATTCAACTGTAGACAATCCAAACGCCGAACCCACAAATATTCCCCCAACAAGGCAGAATGCACATCAAGTCGAAAATTTGAACACAAAAACAACTGGAAGAATTATAAACTGACGCTTGGACATTTGGAATGCCAATGTATTACGACTACAGTAAATGTCACTTAAGAAGAAAAAGTCTATAAGTTTTTTGTCAGATTAATTCATTTATTGACACTCAATGAATTCCAGTTCCAAAGAAACTCAAAACAAAATTTACTTTGTAACACATTTAAGAAATAAAAAAAAGAATTTTTTTTAATTTGCATAATATATAATATTTTGCACTTCAAATATTGGAATAGTGAATAATTGTAAGGGTTCAAAGTGGTATGACCTACATATATCGGAGCTTTAATTTAATAAAATGTTTTGTATTTATCGAATGCATCTCAAGCTAAAATTAGCCTTTAATCCATTTCTCAGCTCAGTTATATATATAGAAACCAATATATTTTTCTCAGGGAGGCTCCACTGTAGTGGTTGCAAGTTGAGGCAATGAAGCGTGTCGCAGCATTAGAGTGCGGTTCAATCACTGGACCAGACTTAACAACTTCCGCGCCGCATCACGTGCCAAGTGGAAGAGCACAGCCCGTGGAATAAGTATCTGCCACCTTTACGACCATGGGATAGTTATGTGGCTTGGATACTTGGGCCAACTGTTGCGTCATCGACGCCAGTACTTTACCCAGTAATTTGCGTGAGTGCGGCTTGTTAAGGGCCTCTGAATCGGACAAAATGAGCTAATGAGGCTCTTTAGAGAGTTGACTCTGCCACTGCGTTGCAAGTGGGTTAGTGGCACGTCTTTATTTTGTGTGTTTACTGTGGGAGTCTGCAACTGCGGATAAGCTGCGGAGTTTTGTTTATTATTGTTTGACGCCATCTGCTGAGACTCATGCGGCAAGTCATAAATATCAACCTAGGTGAATAAGTACACTACTAAAACTTTCATACCCACTTAAAAAATCTGAACATTTCTTAGTTCGATTGTGTAAAGCTCAATAAAAAATCTAAGATTAATATTTATTTTGCTAAACTTAGTGACAACAATAATCTTTTATAAAAGACAGGAAAATGTACTATTTTAGTGTCATAAGTTTTTATACCCTTGCAGAGGGTATTATAATTTTGGTCAAAAGTGTGCAACGCAGTGAAGGAGACATCTCCGACCATATAAAGTATATATATTCTTGATCAGGATCACCTCCTGAGTTGATATAGCCATGTCCGTCTGTCTGCCCTTCTGTCTGTTTCTACGCGAACTAGTCTCTCAGTTTTAAAGATATCGAATTGAAACTTTGCGCACACCCTTCTTTCCTTTGCACGCAGTATATAAGTCGGAACGGCCGGGATCGGCCGACTATATCCTATAGCTGCCATATAACTGAACGATCGGAAATGCCATAACTTTGGTGTTTTTAAAGTTAGGAAGTTGGGATTTTCTATGGGTTTTACATTTGGCCAATAAATTTTACGTACCAAATTTTATAAGGATCGGCCGACTATATCCTATAGCTGCCATATAACTGAACGATCGGAAATGCCGCAACTTTGGTGTTTGTAAAGTTAGAAAGTTGGGATTTTCTATGGGTTTTACATTTGGCCAATCAATTTGACGTACCAAATTTTATAAGGATCGGCCGACTATATCCTATAGCTGCCATATAACTGATTGATCGGAAATGACATAACTTTGGTGTTTGTAAAGTTAGGAAGTTGGGATTTTCTATGGGTTTTATTTTTGGCCAATCAATCCGACCTACCAAACTTCATAAGGATCGGCCGACTATATCTTATAGCTGCCATATAACTGAACGATTGGAAATGCCATAACTTTGGTGTTTTTAAAGTTAGGAAGTTGGGATTTTATATGAGTATTTAGAATGCATCATATGAATAATTTTGGAGAATATAATTTACAGAGTATTCTGCAAGGGTATATCAACTTCGACTCCGCCCGAAGTTAGCTTTCCTTTCTTGTTAAATTATAAGCAGAGCAATTGATGACTCACCTTCTCGATGTTGCAGTTCGCACCAGCAATGATCGCTGATAAACTGGAAACAGAATATAAGACAATTAGATGGTTTTTCCGATATTAAGCGCATTTAGCCGATTTAATTATCTGTTAAAAGCGCCCAACTATTCCATAAGTTTGCCAAAATATTTACCTTAGTTCCCAGACAATAATTCGTTGGAGGGCACTTGTATGAACTGCAGGCATTGCTCTGACCTTTTGCTATAAAGACAAAAGATCCAAACTTTGCATAAAAAATAATATTTGTATACTTAAAGTATTATGTTGTAAATTTGAAGACAAAGATCATTTGGTTTTCTTTTGAACAGTTAAATATAAATATTTACAATTTAATTGTAAATCTGATTTTCTTATTTTTTTTAAGGTTTTTATTTTCTGATTTAAAAACAAGGAAGAATTTTGTTTAAAATTCTTTAAATAGATTTTTGCACAAAGGCCCTTTTAGATTCAATTGAAATTTTTAGTTTAATCTATGATATTTTAGTAATTGTTTAATGTTGTCTATAACTCCTACCCAAACAATGAGATGAAAATTTATGGGTCTGCAGTTTTTAAAACTTAATTTTTAATATTTTATAATTTTAAAGAGTTTATTTTTGGTGCTTACTTACTCTCATTTATTTTCTGCAGCGACTCCATGGCCGAAAGCTGGGACACCTGGTGGTCGAAGGTGAACTCCTCGTAGCTGTCGCTAAATGGTGGGACTCGGGGACGCAGGTCCTCCTTGTCGCACATGATGCAGGAGGATTGCGGAGCACCGAGCACAGATCCGAGAGAGATCGCCAGCACAATCCCTACAGCCAGGAATGATGGGATGACCGCAGGCTGATAACGCAGGCTGACCTTTGGGTATAAGGGCTTATCGGTGGATCTTCGTGGCGATGGCTGTAATCTCGGGCACTGGCAACACTCTATGGCAAGTCCGACGCATTCCAATTCGCTCCACATCGTGCTGGGTCGTCCGATTTCGATCATTTTATTGTGCACAATTATCACATTAATTAGCTGGATTTTATTGGCGTTTTATTTCGGCTTAGTTTGTGCGTCGTTGCGGTCGCAGCAATCGGATACGATCTGTAAGTCGCACGGATGCGGAGATTGAGATTTAGAGAGATCGGCCTGACTATAGTAAGTTAAAAATGCGGTCGTGATCTGAATATAGATTCCAATCGCATATATGGCTCTGATTCTATGTGCTTTCCACACGAACAGCTTTTGTCTAATTCACTTTACAGCTGATTGGTTTAATGGCATTTCTGTATTGTTAAACAATTTTTATCGTTTTCCTTTCGACTGCAGTAACTTGATGTGGCAGGAAACTTGAGTTGGTTAAATAGGCCAATTTTAAGCCAGATGCAAACAAATTGCAAGCAAGGTTATTAGAGTTTATAGCTTTTAGTAATACTTCGTTGATTTCTTGTGATATTTATTTTTTATTTTTCTAGGAAGACTGTACTTTTTTTTATTAAAATTTTCTGTATTAGATCTTGATCGCCATTAAAATATTTAATCTTTTTCGGAATGGTGGCAAATTTTGAGGGCATTCCTTGTTGAACTTAAATTTGTTTCACTATTTTGGATAGAGTTTTTCAATAAAATAATATAAAGTATTTTTCACTTTATTTATTTTTATTTTGTCGTTTTAAATAAAATCACTTTTTTTTCTTTTCTTTTTTTATTATTTATTTATTTTTATATTCAAAAAATATTTCGTGTAAATTTAAACTGAAATATACCATTTCCACATATCCACAAATTATTGCACAAAATCTCCTCCTTTCATCTCTTTTGTTGCTGATAAATGGCTTTAGAATTTTGTTGATATTTTTTTCCACAAAAAAATGCCTGGTATTCTTGGGAATAATTTATTAAGAAGCTGACCAGCGACTCACTCAACGCTTCTCATAAATTAAAGTTACAAATATCACACACGCACGTGAGGAGGCGGAGTGAAGGAAATAATATTTGTCGTACCGCTGCGATGGTTTCGCATCAAGATCGACGGCCACACGTCCGATTCCCAGCCTATGCAAATTCGTTCTGAGCAACTCGCACCGACTTCTGCTCTGCGGCAGAGCGACGCACAGTGGGCTTCCCTGGCAGTATTTCAATTAAATTCCAATAATTTTTAATGTATTTTAAATATCTAAACTAGAAACTACTTGCTAAAAATTAAACAGCAACTATTATTGCTACTCAAAAATATGTGCTTGGGACTCGGTCCTCAAGATACAACATAATATTTTAAGTTGTAGGTCTTAATAAAACTGAAACACATTTCAATTTAAAACTGTTAAAAATGTATTAAACTTTTTTTTTAATAAATACATATGAGAGATTTACTTCTGTGGACAATTTTTTGTCAGTAATCAACAAAATAGGACTATTATTTTTGGTCTCCTAAGCAACTTAATTGCATTCAATTACAATTTTTTGTGAAAACTAATATTATATTTTACACTGTGCGGTGGTATGGGAAACGATGGACAGCACGAGTATTCGCTTCGTGGAGCTCTTAATGCCCGATCGCCAGTTGGAAGCCCCACGACTTGAATAAACGCAATTGCCGCCAAGCTATTGCATTTAAGGAAAGATTCGCGAGAGATTATGAAGCCTGAACGGACAAATCTTATCTTATTGGTTAAAGACTACATGTTAAAAAATAAATAGTTTGTTATAAAGTAAAGTTAGTTCAAGGCATATTAATATGGATAAACAAAAACTAGTAAATTATTTATTACAGTAGTGATATAGTAAGTTGTCTAAAAATTATATGAGATCATCAAGTAAGCTTTTTTTACAATGATTAGCGCGGCCTATCAACAGGCATTTAATCAAATACCCTCAAAAATGATGCTTCATTAATAATATGGCTCTTAATAAGCCCCAGTAATTTGTTTAAAATGAAGCAGAACCATTTCCCTTTCCAAAAAAAAACACTAAATAAACAACAAACATACCTTGGCATACCGAACAAACAATATCTGACACACATTGAAATATTTTTATAATTTATGCCCACCTAAATGCCCCGGAACGATCCCTTCAAAATATATATATCTGCATTTCTATACCTAGGCGAACATATATGCATGTGTAATTTTCTCTGGGCTTCATAATTTTGTGTTTTAAAAATAAAATGGAAACTCACATAAACGAGGTGACTAGGAAGTTTTCATTTCGAATCTTTTGTTTATTTGTATAACTGCAACCTGCTATGCGCCCTGCTCCTCCGTCCAAAATCGTAAATCTGGGCAGACCAACCCGTCCGATTTGTTGTTTGGAAAGCATCGTTTTATGGACCTTACTTTCTAGAATTTCCCAAGACTATTAAATTCCGCCGGGCTCATGATCTGTGGGCGGTTATTGTGTTTTCCCAATGCTTTTCGCTTGATGTGGTTTCAGCTACCACAGCACTTAAAGGCATAAGTCCGCGTGTAAATATCTCGACCGTATAAAAATACCATTTATGTGACGGCATATGGCTTAAAGAACTTAATACCATCCACCGCCCTGCAAAGGATATTATGGCAAGCGAAGGGAGCCGGGGAAAGCGTGTCAAGGTGAAAGTGAATCATGCCGAGAATACCTCCCCTGGTAATGATTCTATGGCTTTAATGGGGCACTTCCCCTCTCTCTAAGTGGGCAAACAAAAAGGGCGCGTCTATTTGGCAGGTAATGGAAAAGTTACTCTGTCGAAGCTTTCCGATTGAGTTTAAGCACGCGAACCGATTTAAATTAGCGAATTTGCATGCAAATATTTGGATTCACCCCGAGCTCTTAAATGGCGTTGAGTGGAAATCCTAGAAAGCTTTTGATTGGCGTTATCTCTATGACAAATTTTTATAAGTTATATAGTTACTGTAAATTACACTACTTTGAATTTTTGTTAAGGTAGAAATCAAAACTACAAAAAAAATTGGTTGCCAAAATTTTGTAACATCTCAGCAAATCAAGCAAACGGGATAAAGCAGAACGAAATATTTTTCGGTTTTTAAAGTTACTGGTTTTCAATTTTTTCCAGCCGATAAGCTTTATATTTCATTTTTATTCCAGTGGACTCTACTCATATCTTAAATGCGATAAGAGCACTGTTGGTGGCAAAAAGTAACTAGATATAAATATAAATAGCCCAACATATATAAATTATGTTGAATATTCAATTTAAAAAGCATGTTGTTTTTTTGTTTATCTATTATTTAGGAATTACTTATTAGAATATGTTTATTTTCCTATTTTACATTGTAAGCTATTGTGATTTTTTATATTTGTAAACGCAGATAACAAATATTTAATGACATCAAAAAACTAATTCTTAGAATAAGAGTTTTTATCGGCATTTTACATATTATATATTTACTTTACTGGTTTACAACTTTTTTCAGCCGATAAGCTCTATATTTATACCCTTGCAGAGGGTATTATAATTTCAGTCAAAAGTTTGCAACGCAGTGAAGGAGACATTTCCGACCCTATAAAGTATATATATTCTTGATCAGGATCACCTCCTGAGTTGATATAGCCATGTCCGTCTGTCCGTCCGTCCGTTTCTACGCAAATTAGTCCCTCAGTTGTAAAGCTATCTGCTTGAAACTTTCCCAAAAGTTGTCTTTCTATTGCAGGTAGTATATAAGTCGGAACGAGCCGGATCGGGCGACTATATCCTATAGCTGCCATATAACTGATTGATCGGAAATGCCATAACTCTGCTGTTTGTTAGGTTAGGAAGTTGGGACCTTCTATGGGTTTAATTTTTGGCCAATCAATCCGACCTACCGAATTTCATAAGGATCGGACTATATCCTATATCCTATATCCTATAAAGTTAGAAAGTTTGGATTTTTTATGAGTATTAAGAATGCATCATATGAATAATTTTGGAGAATATAATTTACAGAGTATTCTGCAAGGGTATATCAACTTCGGCTCCGCCCGAAGTTAGCTTTCCTTTCTTGTTCATTTTTATTCCAGTGGACTTTACTCATATCTTAAATGCGATAAGAGCACTGTTGGTGGCAAAAAGTAACACGATATAAATATAAATAGCCCAACATATATAAATTATGTTGAATATTCAATTTAAAAAGCATGTTATTTTTTTGTTTATCTATTATTTAGGAATTACTTATTAAAATATGTTTATTTTCCTATTTTACTTTGTAAGCTATTGTGATTTTTTATATTTGTAAATGCAGATAACAAATATTTAATGACATCAAAAAACTAATTCTTAGAATAAGAGTTTTTATCGGCATTTTACATATTATATATTTACTTTACATATTTTATCCAGGTAATATGATATTAATAAATTAAATTACCAGAGACCAGTTTTTCGTGCTCATGGTTAAGTAAAAGTAGGTTTTGAATTAAGAATGTCACAAATATATACAAATAAAAAAATAGATTTAAGTATAAAATTGGCAGTTTAAAACATACTTTTGGCAAGCAAGGCCAAAGTACAAATAAATGTAATTTTTAAAACTTTTAAAAACTTTCCGATAACAAACGAGTTTTATTAATTAAGCATTGAAATAAAATGGGTTATATAAAGACAAATATATTTAGAGTTTTCGATTTTGAACAGGAAATTTTTTAGGATTGCCTTAGGTCGTTTATTGAAGTTGTATTTTATGGATTCGTCAAAACCGACCTACCTTATAAATTTCAAAAACATCTGCTTTGAACTTAACAAATGCAAAATCTCACCTACCCTAAGATAGGGCTGCGCATGCGGTCTATTTTGTTTTGTACCCCTTGTCAGCGAAGAAACACCCCGAGAAATCAATCCTTAAAAGGTAAGGAGAAAGTATGCTTGCGAAAGAGAAATATCCTGCAAGAGAGTACTATGCACCTCAAAGTACCATTCTCTCATTTTCAAACAAAAACTCGTTTCTGAAGTGCTTCTAAAACTGTTCCCCCATAACATACAGTTGTATGAGCACTAACTTAGGCAATAATTTTTGCGCCCTAAGTTTTTTTAGGCTTTACCAAATTTATGATCATTTTCACACTGAATAATCAATCACCAAAATCGCAAAAATAACTAATACAAAGTATTTTTAAACCACTAACTAGAGAATGCTTTCAGAGCGTATAATTTATGTTGTAACATTTAAAACTTTTTTGTCTTGCTTTGGGGGATTTTTTGTCTCGAAAATTGTCCGTTTTTTTCGGGGCCATTTGGTGTTGTTTTTTCGCGTTTTTTCTAACATTAAGATTTTAATCGCTCAACGAGACGCACCAATTTGTCAATATTTAAAAAAAGTTGAACATAAATTTTCACAGCAGCAACAAAAACAAAGTTTGGGGCGGAAAATAGAGAATGGCGACAAATGATTTTCTGTTTGTACACAAAACACAATGACAGTTCAAGTACGTTTGATTTTTTTGTTTCTTCAATTATATATTTTTTTTAATTATAACAAACAATACAGATAATTTTGGAGTAGTTACACACTTGTGATTTTTTTCTACTATTTTTTACTGCGACTCTTGTTGTTCAGCTTGTTGTTTAGGCAGCGCAGTAAACGCGACTGAAGGATAAAAGCGTGACGTAGACCGGCGACAGCTTGCGGCTATGGCAACAACAACAACCACGACAACAAGGACAATAACACAACACTGAGAGAACTTTTGTGGAGTGACATTGTAGGGGTTAAATGATTATGATGTAAAAAAAACTATATCCATTTTTGCACGGTCAGCTCTTAGAATCAGCCTTTTTGATAATAAAAATCGTAATTTTTAGATATACTAAATTTGATTTAAAAAAAATAATATTCACGTTTACTATTAGATGAAGAAATTATAAAGAAGTCTTTAAGAAAAATATTTATTTATTCCTTTGCCAAAAAATGAATTATAATTTGTTAATGATTAAAAACACGGAAAACAGAAAATCCTAATTAATCGAAAATATTAATTTCAAATATTTTAAATCAAAATAAATTTATATATATATTTATTATATTTATTTTTTGTAATTAAAGTCAATCCTATCGTTGTTTTCTGTGCACCACCGTCGAAGTTTCTGACGACAACAATAGAGACTCACATCCTTCTGTCTGGCAATAGTCCTTTTAGAAAGCAACCCCCAAGCGAGAAAGTTTTCCTGCTGGCAATGCCGTCTAACCTAAAGAGAGAGCTACTGAGAGCGAGCCGAAAAGGGTCGCTGGAGAGCCTTGGAAACACAATCTCCCCATAGAGCAACAGGCTACCCACATCAAACCCAAAACAAACCCGAGCTGAGCAGAATACCGTTCCTTTCGCCAAGGAAAAAAGTTTGCTCAGCTAATGGCAAATCAGTTTATATGGAGGGGATGGCCAATTTTATTGGGATAGGTCCACTGGGGTGCGTCAGATTTATTGACTAATGGAATTCAAGGAGCTCCAGGTGTAGAATAAACAAATAGAAATCCATTATATTTATGAGGGCGATAATAACATAAATGATGCGAAAACTGATTTCGTATTTTACAAAAAGTAGATAAATTCGTGATCGTATTTCGCAATAGAAATTCCAAATTTAGAACCTTAAAAAATATTAGTTATCATTAAATTTAATTTTATTATTAAACAACATATGTATGAGCCCAGAAGAAACTTTAAATTTATTAATTTAAGAAATTTCTTCGAAATGGTGCATTTCTTAAGTATAAGAATACCTAATTCTTAAGTATTCGCATTCGCTCACCTGAAATTTAATTGGTTAGTAATGCAAGAATATTTTGAGCCATATGGTTTTATAGCCGGTACAACTTCTGGGACAATTTGGCGACAAGTGTTATTTCCAACTACCGGCACTGTTGTCAGGTTATCGCCTCTGCAGCGCCCTAATAAGCCAATCATAATAAATGTCAAGCATCGATTTGGCTTCTTGCCAATGACCAATCGACCATATCGCAGTCCTCCACCCTCAAATTTCTCTGCACCACCCCTTTCGAACTGTCAGTATATCATTAGTTGGTCGCCAGCAGCTGGGGAGACTTTGTCTAGGGCTAATCATTAATGCTTAGCTGCCCGAATTGCTCATACGCCATGTGTTCACTGTTCTAGGGCATCCCACAGAACGACAAAAACGATTAATTTATAGGCTTGTCGCATGTTGCCAAACACCTGACACGAATCGTCAGTCAAAATGATTAAGAGAACTGCCCTATCCCAAAATATCATTGAGAAATTAAATAACTTATTAATAGGATCTTAAAGTTAGATATTAGATGGTAATTTGAAAAATTGTGTTCTGCTTGAGTAACTTATGCAGATATAAAAACATGTATATTACTTTCAAAAACTCAAATATCTTCCCAACTCCTAATAAGATATTAATATATAAGGATTAAAAATCTAAAAAGTCCTGGAATCCTCATACATAAAGCTGGATATTTTCCTCATTAGCTTCAACAGATCAAATAACTCTTAAAATATTTAAAGAAAAATAATATAACTTGCTTAATTTTATTCCTGTTTGATAATTCAAATCACAATCCAATGTTCATCGCAAGTCTTTTTTATTCAAATATAACTCGATCATGCGGACCCAACAATAAAGAAAGAATAGTCAAATTAATGTTTTAAGATCCTTTTCTAACGTTATTATCCCATCAATTAATAGTCGATTTAAAGCAATCATCAAAATATGTTATATTTGTTCATGTTATTATGTTATTAAATCCGAAAGATCAAACAAGTCTAAAAATATTTTTAGAAGAATAACAGAATTTGCTTAATTTAATACATTCCAATGAAAATAACCAGTCTTTTTTATTCAAATATAACTCAATCAAGCGGATGTTTTAAGATCCTTTTCTAATCCTCTTAAAGTTATTATCCCAGGCATTTATAGTCGATTTAAAGCAATCATCAAAATATGTTATTTATGTCAAGCGTGTGCCGTGTTATTAAATAATAACAACAGACTACTTTATAAACCAGTTTTCGCAGTTTTGTTTTGAGAACTTTTCAAAGCGATTTTAATGCAAAACAACTACAATGGCTAAACACATTATGCACTGGAACAATAACAATAATAATCGAGATAACATTAACACTCTGTTTTGCTATTGTTGCGATTTTGGAGGCTCGCAACTTGAATCAAGTTCAATGCGACTTGGCAACCGATCTTCGAGCAAACTAGACTGCCGCCTCATAAATATTTAGTGGAATTCTAACGTGAACTCAAACATTTTGCATAATCACTGGCGTTATTTTCGTGTAACGGTCTTTGGGAAGTGAAATTTTGACTGTAGAAACTTCTAAAAAGCCGCACTGATAAGAAATAAACACGATGGAGGCCCGCCGTAGGTTACAAAATTGCAATTCATTCTACCCGATTGCATTAATTAAGTAATCCACCTGTTCTAGTAAACAAATTTCTGCAAGTTCAGTTAAAATATGCGAACAACAACCAGCTACTTAAGATATTCCGATATATATAGCAGTTGAAATAAACAAAATACTAGTTTGGCTTTTATTTAAATTAGTACAGGATTTTCACCTGACCGAGGCTGGGCCCTATATAAAGCGCCCGATTGGCTTAGCTCGGGCCATAATCATCTTGAAGATCGTGTAAGATCAACGGAACGTAGAAATCTATATCGCGTGTGAAGAGAGGATTTGAATAAATTGAGTCTGAGTGATAATGGTAATTGATTGACACACGTGCCAAAAGTTATGTAATAACGAGATTGTGTGAAAAAAAATAACTTCAACAAAAATGTATCCTTAAGTTTTTAAAGTTGAATGTAAAACTAATAAAACTATAATATTCCGATGACTGTACTTTAGTCTTAATGGTATTAAAAATTGGAATGTTGCGCACGTTTTCTCAGTTTTGCCAGGAAACCTAGAAAAGGTCCACAAGATACTATACAAAATGTATTAATAATATGTGGCATTATAATGTAATTAATTAATTTTAACTTTGGTTTTCCTCGCAATGTCCATGTGAAAATCAATTCTTGAAGTGTACTTTATCAATATATATATATTATATATTTTATGCTCTAATACCAATTCTCCTTTTCCAATTTCCGCCAACAGACAAGCTATACTGACAAAGGAACCAAAGTAAGCATGAAACAAAATCGAATCTTATATAAGAAATTCTTAATTACAAATTAAACGGTTGTTAGAAAAAAATGATAATTAATTTATTTTCATTAAAATTTCAGCCTGAAGCCGGCAAATTTCTAAGCTTTGATCACCTGACTTTCTACGTTGGCAACGCCAAGCAGGCGGCCAGCTTTTATACCACTCGTCTGGGCTTCGAACCTCTTGGCTATCAGGGATTAGAGACCGGAGAACGACGCTTCGCCAAGCATGCCGTGCGTCAGAACAAGATCGTCTTTGTGTTCGTCTCGGCCTACACTCCGGATGACGAAGAGCATGGACTCCACTTGATGCGCCACGGCGATGGTGTCAAGGATGTAGCCTTCGAAGTGGAGGATTTGAATGCCATCTTTACCCTGGCGGTGTCCCGAGGCGCCGAAGTGGTGCGCGACATCTGGGAGGAGAGCGATGACAAGGGATTCGTGAGATTCGCCACCATCAAGACGGTAATTGATACAGAAAAGAAGAAATTATTTACAGTGCTAAGGGGTTAATAATGTCTTAACCGGCAAGGTATTTTAGTAGTTTTTTAAAAATCTTTAATCTTTTTTAGTACGGTGATACCACCCACACATTTGTAGAGCGCAATGGTTATGTCGGAGACTTCCTGCCCGGATTCCAGCGGGCGACCGAGGATGTTCTTCTGAAGGGCTTGCCTTCCACCAAGTTGAACTTCATTGATCATGTGGTGGGCAACCAGCCGGATCTGCAAATGGAGAGTGTGGCCTCGTGGTACGAGAGGATCTTGCAGTTCCATCGCTTCTGGTCGGTGGACGACTCCCAGATCCACACGGAGTACTCGGCGTTGCGATCCATCGTTATGGCCAACTACGAGGAGACGGTAAAGATGCCGATCAATGAGCCGGCCAATGGAAAGAAGAAGTCGCAGATCCAGGAGTACGTGGAGTACTACGGTGGTGGCGGGGTCCAGCACATTGCTCTTAACACGGATGACATCATCCAAGCGGTGAGCAATTTGAAGGCTCGGGGCACCGAGTTCCTGACCATCCCGTCCTCGTACTACGAGCTCCTGCAGGAACAGCTTTCGCATAGCCGCACCAAGATCAAGGAGGACATGGAGGTCCTGAAGAAGTTGAACATTTTGATTGACTTTGATGAGAACGGATATCTCCTGCAGATATTCACGAAGAACTGCCAAGACAGGCCCACTCTCTTTCTTGAAGTAATCCAACGCTATAATCACAATGTAAGATTTATTGCTTAAACTATTATTGCTAAGAACAGTCATTGATAATCGTCACTATTTCAGGGATTTGGCGCTGGAAACTTTAAGTCCTTGTTCACGGCCATCGAAATCGAACAAGCCAAACGGGGTAACTTGTGAAACAAATATGTAATAATAAACAATCATATTAAATGAAATGCGTTAAACAGAATAACAAATATTCCCTAAATGTCATTTGTTTAAACGCTGGTCTCTAAACCGAGTGTCTATCAAAACTTCGTTGCGGGGATCGTCTTCGGCAAAGGAAACCATGTGGGGATTCCAGAATCCCGGTGGTGTCGAGCTTCTTGGGTCAACGTGCTTGCAGTTGGCCAAATAGTCTTCAATCTTCTCATCTGTCAGGTTTGAGCCCATAAAATTAATAAACTGAATTGGAAAACGGTTATAATTATGAAATGAAAATGATTGAAATGTACCAACCTTTTCGCATTCCTCGCATTCAATGCTGAAACGTTCTTTGACTGTCAATGCAGGTTCTTTTTTCACTAAAAGGGGTCGCGGAAACTCTTCCTCCGAATCCTTGCTATCCTCTTCTTTGATGTCTACTAGGTACTTTTCAATATCCTGAGGCATTTTCGTTGACTCATTGGCCATATCAGCCTCTGGTTGGGATACGGGTTCACTTTTCACAGCTTTGGTAAGTGGAGTAGCAGTTTCCACTTTTGGGGGTTTCGGTTGAATATTCTTCTGCTGGTCAATCATTTTCATTTCGAACTGTCTCAAAGCGTTCGAGCAAGCGTCATCGTCGTCCCTCATAATCTCAGCCAACACATCCATCGTTCCCATTTTAATCACTTCTTCGGGGGTATCGTTCACGAAGATTATATCCTGGGTAGCAGGAGTTAGAATGACCACGCTATCCGAGGTGCAGTTGATCCTTAAGCCTGGAGGGGTTGCTGGTGGCGGCATGGTCGGAAGCTCCGAGCTATCCAATTTGAATTCTTCCATATCCATCTCAAAACTGGCCTTGCTGATCTTAATTATGCTACTGCTGCTGGTTGTAAGCGAGTCGTCTGCGCTTGAAACGGTCGCGGTGTCTGTTCTGCAAGCTTGGCTTTTAATATTAAAAAGAATAGTAACCAAAAGTATCACAGTAATCCCTTAATTATAAATTATCTTAATGTGATCCTCAGGATATAACAACATACTACCAACTATATATATTTAATGACTATTCAAAAAGAGATCTCTAATGAAAATCGAAGATTATCTGTTTTATCAAATTTCTATAGTCGCTTAATTGTATTAGAAAATAATTCGGTGACTCCTCTGAATTTATCGTAATAGTAATTACCTCTGCATTAGGGATCGTGGTGGCCGAGATCTCTTCAGGCTGGCGCTTAGATTGGGGCTTTCCTCTATAACATCCTGTTCACAAGTGCTAGTTTTGTTTGCTTCAAATTTTAGGCGAGTTTGTTTGAAGTGGGAGTTGCCATTTTTGTGCGTGAGTGACAGCTTGGTGACGACTCCCGGATTCTTGGGTGTCTTACGGATCCAACTGCTGCCCGTGGCAGAAACATTGTTTGGCTGCACATTCTCAAGGTTCTGGATGTCCAGCTTCCGTCTGTGTAGCCTCAGTTTGCGCGGGCTTTGGGCAGTGATCTCCGATTCCGCAATGCTCTCATCCTCCTCCATTTCCTGATCCTCGTCCGAGAGATCGATACTGCTAAGGGCTATGTTCATGTTCAGGGAGTTTTGACTTTGGGGCTGAGGGGATATGTCGTCTTTGATCTTCTTGGGCGACAGTTTCCTGCGCTTCTGAGCGTGAATCATGGATTCTTGGCGCTCTTTTAACAACTCCAACGCCTTGTGCAGCTTTTCATTATGGGCCTTCAGGTTTTCTATTGCCTTGGCACTCTCCTCCGAATCCCTCTGCATCACTATGTTATTTTATTTATTAAATTTTAATTAATTTACTACATGGGTCAAAGTTTATCCCTTCGCCTCGACTTACTTAAAGCGTGCTGTTTGATCGTGTCCAATGCGGCTATAAGACACTTCACACTCTTCTCCTTGTGACCCCGACATGTTCCACACGTCATTGTATTTAAATATATTTAATATAAGCTGATATAAATTAGTTAATTTAGTTTTCTATAACCTTTTGAAAATTGAAATGTTTTGTTTTCTTGGCATTCGCCGGACAGTGTGACGGCAAACAGAATGATAAAATACACCAATGTTTTTAAATACTAAAAATATGGTAAATATTATTTAGCCGGTTGGTATTTTTTAACCTGTTAACTATGGTCTTACCTTTTGCCATTCTACTCGTGTTCAAGTTTGATTTTCACCTTTATAAATTTATAAAATAAATTAGTTAACTTGGCCATGGCTCACCTGCGGGAAACCTCAGACAAGGCTCTAAAGCTGTTGCGCACGTTACCGCGTGTGCAAATCGGGAATCTTCGACCGAATCCGAACTCCAAACAAAATGTGAGTGGTTGAATAACAACACGAAATTGAAGTACCATTTACTAATGTTATGTTTTCCGGCAGGACAAGCGTGGCAGGGCGCAACACGGCGGCGACAAACACGGAGCGGGCAACAAGGGATCTGGACAGCGACAGAACTTTATGCGACTGGGTTACGAAACGGGAAATCAGCCTTTTTACCTGAGATTCCCCTACGAGCCTTATTACAAAGGACACCACATGAAGCGCCAGTATCCGCCCATCTCTCTGCTCCAGCTGCAGGTGCTCATCGACACCAACAGGATAGACATCAGCCACCCCATCGACATTAGTACTCTGTGCAATTCCGGCCTGCTTAAGCTGAAACCCGCTGAGATGGAATACGGATTCCAACTAACGGATGACGGACTGGACAACTTTCAGGCCAAGATCAACATTGAGGTGCAGCACGCCAGCGAGGCGGTAATAGCGGCTATAGAGAAAAACGGCGGGGTAATCCGTACCGCCTACTACGATCCTCGCAGCCTGCACATGCTGGCCAATCCAAAGAAGTGGTTCCAAAAGGGAGTCCCTATACCCAGCCGCATGCTGCCTCCTCAGGACGCCGTCGACTACTATACTAATCCCAAGAATCGCGGCTACCTCGCCAATCCTGAGGAGATCAGCCAGGATCGCTTGGTGCTAGCCCAAAAATACGGCTACCAGCTACCCAAAATTGAAGATGATTCCGCCTACGATATGCTTAGTACTGCCAAGGACCCAAGACAAGTTTTCTTCGGACTAGAACCCGGATGGCTGATCAACATAGTAGACAAAACTATCATCAAGCGCAAACAATAATCAGTTGAGTTTGTTATTATGCATTTTGTTAAATAAAGTGGGTTACAAAAAGCTTTGTTAGACTATGATACTGTGGGACATTTATTATGTCCTTGTCTTTTTGATTTGTTTATATAAACACCTGCTGGGCCGATAAATCCTCCATGAACGGCTTGACCACCGCACTGGTGGCGAAGCAGAATATCAATCCGAAGGTAATTGAGATGGGCAGAGCGGGCAGGGCCTTACGCCAAATAGCCAGCAGTAGAAGGGTGAGGCAGAGTCCAATCAGGATGGCTACAAAGCAAGCGATTGTAGTCGTCCAGTCGCCGTAACTGGAGGCTTTGCCCACTAATACCGAATAAAAGATGAAATCGCCGAGACCCAGTTTGATGCCACCTAAGTAAAAAATGCATTAAAGAAATGGTGTGATTTAAGGTACTGAATGCTTACGCTCTTCTTGCCCATCCGGATGATTCGGGTCTGGTGCAGTGACTGTTCTGTACTCGTTTGAACGCTGAGCGCTTCCACTCTGGGTACTTTGCACCTCAATCTGGCGACGGGCCACACGTTCGCTTAAATTGTTAGACCATTCCTGCGTAAAGCCCGCAGCCTCGGCTAAAAAGAAGATCAGCGAAATTAAGCATTAAAGGTGGAATTCCACAAATTGCCTTGAAATAGACCAGACCATTTCGCGGCGTTATTTTGAATGATGTTCTACTAGTAGCGCTGTATACCATATGCCCAACAAAACTATACAAGACAATAAATACAGAACAAAGCAATATACACATTTGAGAGGAGTATAAAAATCATAAAAAATATAATGCATATGTACCGTTTCCGCGCAAATTGCTTTTAAAAGTCACAAGTGGCATACCTTCAGTTGCCAGTACACTGCTATCGTCCCGCTGATTTTGTCGAGGATGGGAGTTACCTGAGCGTGAGCCACTAACCGCCGCTGCCTCCGGCGAAGCCAGGGAATTTTGAGTGGCCCTCGTTGTTGTGGTGGAGTTGCTGGATGAGGGCGATGATGTGGCGTCGGCCTGCTGGGGCGTAACAGTGCCCACAAGTGCGTAAACAACAGTGGCTAACAAACAGAAAAACTGTGAATACGAAAATCTTCAAAGTAGTGTATCATTATTACATGAGTAGATCAGTGCGGGAAAGATTTGTTCATTTCGTTCCTGGGCCGTTTCCACTAATATGCGAAGAGGTCCTCTTGGAGAAAGAACAGCAATGAGATCTGTAAATTAATTAAAAAACCAACAAGTCATTAATATAACAACAACAGTCCAGTAAAAGAGTTCACTTCAAAACTCACCCCAAATAGAAATGGCAGCCAAAACAGCCCAGGCAGTCCATTCTGGCAGATATTTGATGAACACCAACGCCATCAGGGCAGCTACAAATATAAGATATCCTTGCTGCAGCCGCAGAGGACCCTGCCAATGGATGGCCATCATTCCGACCACACCAAAGTTCCACATAATCAGAACGGCAGTGGGATAGTCCATGGGTATGTTATAGGCACGAAGGAGCTCTCTAAAATTAACAAATCGTTATTAAAGAACTTGATAGAAGTGACTTACGCTTACTCCAAATATAAGTACGTAAAGATGAACAATAACATAAAAGAAGAAAGAATGAGCCAGCCATGAATAATACGGTAGCAACGTTTCTTATACAGAACAATCAGCAGAATGGTCATCACCACCACCACGCTCATCAGGATCAAAGAGTTAGCCAAGGCATTCCAGAATTTTACGCTTGGCTCCGGTGATTGCTCGTGGAAAGGAGTGTATAGACTGGTGTAGTAAGAACAATCTTTTGTGATTAAATGTACAGGATGGTGTTATTAAATCAAACCGTACAGATAGACATCCGTGCTGTTGTAGAAGCTGATGGAGTTGATGGTGGCCACCACCACCAGCATGCAGAGGGAGACGGGTACAAACAATTTAATCACATGCTGGGCGCCGTATTTCAGGCCCTGCTCCTCCTCCATTTCATTTGTGGGCGGACCGCCGCCCCCTCCTCCACTCAGTCTTGAAGGTCTTTGACCGCCGGGTTCCCGCATCACCACATTGGGAACTGCAAGTATGGCCTGGCAGAAAGGAAATAGTTAAAAGTGATTCTGACTCTCGTATTAGAGGACTCACCGCATCTGGTTGATCCTGATTGCCGGAACCGTAGTTGTTTCGCTGATGTTGTCGCTTTGGAGGACGCTCCAAACGCTCCGCCTCGCCGTTCTGGCTGGTCGCAGTGGCATCGTCTCCGGAGGCGAGTCCGGAGGAGCACGAAGCCTGAAGATTGACAGCAGCCATCAGTGGTGTGCGTTCGTTCGCCTCCGTAGCGCTGGACGCCGCCCCCTGCGAAGCCGTAGTTGTGGGATGGGAACTTCTGGGGGATCTCACTGATTATGATCTGGAACCAATTGGATCGGAAGCTACTCACGATTAGCGGAACCAAAGTAAATGTAGCTGGAGCAAAACTTTCTTTTGTTTTGACGAAAAAGCGACTCATAGACTAGTGATGGACAATGGGAAGTGCGGCTTAGCTATCGATTTTAGAATACTTTTCAAGGTTTCATGGGAGTGGCATAAAATATGCAAGGGGGATCTTTTGTAATTAGCAAAGTAACATAAAATTAAGTTGTAATAATCAATTAAAAAAACAGAAGTCATATCACGATATAATAAAATATATAAGTAAGAATATATTATATAAAGGCGTATTAAAGTTTCTGTATTAATAACACCAGTTGCACCGATTTTATATATCTTTCTCAGAAACTAATATTTGAAAGATCTGTATTCTGTCGGAAATTTACCCCTAACCATAATAATTGTAATGATTATCGATTAATTGCAATCGAATTAATACTAAACGGCACTTCAAAAATATAAAATCAGCTGTTTTCCCTAAGGTTAAGCACGGTCGCACTATTCATTTCATAAGATTCGACAAACAAAATAAAATCATTGATAAATAATTGATTAATTCATTAAATTGGATCTTCACTATGTTACGAGCTTTAAAATCACACGTGGAGGCCCCCATTGTAATTGCCACCGTAAGTAAACAAATTTGTATTCGTGTACTCTAGGTAAAATTAATTTATTTTTGTTGAATAATGCAGCGTGCGGCATCAACAAATGCGGAAAAGCTGGATGAGATACGGGAACGTCTGGCCAAGGGACCCAACTTCCAGGACTTTGTCCAAAATCCGGAGTACTCGAAAAACGAATGGGAAAACTATGAGGGAAAGCTGCGCCGCGAAAAGGGCGAGGAGCAGCGCCTTCGACTGCCACCCTGGCTGAAGACGACGATTCCCGTGGGCAAGAACTACGCCAAGATCAAGGCCCAGATGAGGGACCTCAAGCTGTCCACCGTCTGCGAGGAAGCGCGGTGTCCGAACATAGGCGAGTGCTGGGGCGGCGGCGAGCATGGCACCCAGACAGCCACAATTATGGTGAGAAAATAGAACCAGACCACCCGGTGACCTCTGCTGATAACAGATAATGTGTATTATTTTGTCGGGAGTGTCACAGAATTTTCCACCGTTTATGTCGTTTAGAAATTCTTTAAGTCACATATGCATGCCTTTAATTTCTGTCCTTCAAAGCAACATAAGATTTTAAGCTCTTAAAAATGAGAAAACTGTATTGGTGGTGAACTTTATGTCTTTAAAAACATATTTATTTCTTTCGAATTTTTATTAGAAGAGTCAAGAATAGTTAAAAATAGTTTCTCAATTAAAATTTTTTTTAAACAATTTGCTTTTATAACTCACAGAATATTAAACTAAGTATTTGAACAATTAAAGATCTATCCATACAAGAATCTGTGTGGTCCAAAAATATTTGTTTTGGGCCTCCCACAAAGCTCTTTTCTATATTTTTGACTCATAATTATCAATAGTACAACCTTAAGGTTGTAAACAAAATTACATATATAAAAATTAATACATTTTTTTTACTAAACGACTTTGTTGAATATATTTTCCAGCTCATGGGTGATACTTGCACCCGAGGCTGTCGATTTTGCTCGGTAAAGACGGCTCGTAAGCCACCGCCCCTGGACGTGAATGAGCCCGTCAACACGGCCACGGCCATTGCCTCCTGGGGATTGGATTACATTGTGTTGACCTCGGTAGATCGAGATGGTTGGTATTGAAATGGTTTTTGACTGGTCAGTTAATTTAATTTTACCTTCATCATAGATTTGCCAGACGGCGGCTCGAAGCACATAGCTGAAACAGTTCGGGAAATTAAAGCTCGGTAAAACGTTTAATGCAGACTAAGATTGAACATTATATACTTAAAAAATACTTTATTTTCAGTAACTCCAACATATTCGTGGAGTGCCTGGTACCGGACTTTCGGGGCAATCTGGAGTGTGTAGCGACGATTGCCAACTGCGGCCTGGATGTGTATGCGCACAACATCGAGACGGTCGAGAAACTCACACCCTATGTGCGAGATAGACGCGCCCACTATCGTCAAACCCTGCAGGTGCTTACCGAAGCGAAGAAGTTCAATCCCAATCTCATCACAAAGAGCTCAATTATGCTGGGCCTCGGTGAAACGGATGGGGAGATTGAAAACACTTTAAAGGATCTGCGGGAGGCCGGAGTCGATTGTGTTACCTTGGGGCAGTATATGCAGCCCACGAACAAGCACCTCAAGGTTATAGAATACGTCACGCCTGAGAAGTTTAAACACTGGGAGGAGCGTGGTAACCAAATGGGTTTCCTGTACACGGCCAGTGGTCCGCTGGTTCGCAGCTCTTATAAAGCAGGCGAGTTTTTCATCACGAGTATATTGGAAAACCGTAAAAAAAGGCAAAACGCCAATGCAATCCCCAAGGAGTAGGACGATCTTTCTGCCTTTCTGATTAAAAAATTTCAGCATGCCTTCATAAACATATTGATACTTTTAGCTAAGCCTTTTGTTTACAAACCTTTCGCTTGTTGTGCAATGTATATATTACCATAAATCAAATTTATTATTTAAAAATAAATTCGAATTTTATAGTTTTTTTTTTTTAATTTTTTATTTGTAATGTATTTTTATTGCGGTTTATTTATCTAATTAAAAACAATAAAAAAAAGGCAAACTTCCGCAAACCGGGGTTTGTATACCCTAGCAGCTATTACGAAAATGTTATATTCTATAAAATATTCAACCTTTATTCAATTTTATTCCAATATGTTAACATTAAAGTTATTGATATTTTATTTACTAGTTAAAAAGTTGTTAAAAGTATAGTATTTACTGGACAGAGACGCAAATGTCTCCTTCACACCGCAGCAAATTTGTGGATGAAATTATAATATACTCTAAGAGCTTTTTTAGAATTCGTTAACAACAACGTTTGTTAAGAGTATCAGATGGTATAAAATCCCATTCCGCTTTCGGTAGAGCTCATTCAGCTGGGTCGCTTTAAGTTGATTAGTCGATTCATATCAGTGTTCTATTGAAAAAGTGTAAGGAAAAGACTGAGATATGTTGCGGTTCATTCTTATTTTTTATTTTTTGCAAAATGTGTTTTTAATTAATGCCAGTGGGTAAGTTAAAAATTAATTTTAATTAAAAGGAAATGCATTGAAATAACTATATAGACAAAATTATGTTACAACTGGTATTTGATTTCACAAGACTTCTATTAAAATATCATAATTTAAATTGATTTAGGTTTCCTTGAAGAATTTACAAAAAAAAGATAAATTTAACAAAAATTCCAAGTTTTGTAAATATGTATTCCAATAAATTCATTGTCCGATTGTCCTATTGATAATTGCAAAAAAATTTGTTTGATCGCTTATTTATTTTGCTGACTTCCCGGAAGTAGATGATAACCCAATGATGCTGTGACATCCAATGAATTTCCAGTAGAAGTATTTAATAACGGTAAAATGTTTTCAGAACCATTTTTAACATTTCGGAAATTCCAAAATAGTTTTAACGTGCCGATTTGGTCGCTTTTATTTATTGTTTTATTGAGAACGTTTGAGAATATATTTTAGCTATACAAAGCACAAAAAATAAGATTGTAACAGGTGACCAGGTTAAATTACTAAAAAAAAATCCTTTTTTTTTGTTACCGATATTTATATAAACTCAACTCGAACATCTATATATTTCGGAACTTAACTTTGATTAGTTTGCTGTTGTGCTACAGCACAGTAAAATCAATGTTTGTTGTTTATTTCGCAGTTTCTATTCGATTGTGGGACCCAAGACTATTCGGTCCAACACCACTTATGGCATTGGCATTATCATGCACAACGCAACTGAGTCCACCAATGTCTCTGTCAGCCTAACCGGACCCTCATTCAGTATAACTAAGGAAATCCAGTTGGCACCCATGTCCTGGAAAAACGTGGATTTCGATGTGCCAAAACTCACCGATGGTGACTACCATCTTAAAGCGAAGGGTGTTGGGGGTGTCGAATTCCAGGACTCCGCAAAACTCGACTTTGCCGTCGACAAAACCTGGATCTACATCCAGACAGACAAGGCCATCTACAAGCCCGCTGATCTCATGCAGTTCAGAATTCTTTTCTTGGATAAGCGCACCCGACCCGCCATGATCAACCAGCCCATTTCTATAAAGATCCGCGATGGAGCTCAAAATCTGATGAAACAGTGGAATGATGTCAAGCCGACCATGGGGGTTTTCTCCGGAGAACTCCAGTTGTCCGATCAGCTGGTGCTGGGAAACTGGAGTCTAGCTGTTACAGTGCAGGGCGAGGGCAAGAAGACCAAGGTCATCAAGGTGGACCAATTAATGGAGCCGAAGTTTGGGGTAATTGTGCAAACTTCTAAAGACGTGGTCGCCAGCGATGGAATTATCAAAGCAAAGATATGGGCCAAATACTCCTCTTTAAAGGCCGTCAAGGGTTCTGTTGTTGTTTCGATCGAGGGCAGTGCAATTGAGAAAACACTGCCAATCGATGGTCATGCCGATGTGGAGTTTCCCATTACGCCTACCACCAAGAGTGACTTAAAAATTGTGGCTACTGTGACGGAGGAACTGACTGATCTCCGGAAAAACGGCACCGCCTACGTGACCCTCCATCAACATCGCCACAAGCTGGAGGGTCGCTCTTGGCCTACGAATTTCATTCCAGAAAGATTGTACGACTTTTTCGTTTTGGTCAGGAATGTGGACGGTTCTCCTGTCATGCACTCGACACATAAAGTTAAGTTCCACGTTTCGTGCTGTCATATAGCTAGAACATTCAGTTCTTCCCTTCGTTATGGCACTGCCACCCAAAAAATGATGCTTCCCGGTAAATGGTGCAAAATTTGCCTTGTAACGGCTACATTTGAAAATGCGGCCCCCATTCAACAATATTTGCATAAGGTCGACAAGGCACTAATAATCGATGTTGATAGTAAAAGGCAAGTGCTTTTAAAAAGATCCTATAATTTGTAACTAACCATAATTATATCAATATATTTTACTCTACAGACACAAACTAAAGAACCCGCTAATAATCAATGTAATGTCCACAGACGATATTTCCTACTTCATGTTAACAATTGTAGTTCAGGGTAATAAAATCTTAAACAAATATGTACGAGTAGATAAAGGTAAAAGTAAATTAGTATTGCAACCCACCTTTGAGATGATCCCTCAAGCTACAATTTATGTGCATAACATTAAGGATGGGGTATATCGGTTTGATGAGAAGACGATTTATTTTGAAAAGGAATTCAACAACTCGGTAGGATTCGACATAAAACATAGCATATAATAATTAATAATTTGCGCTTCCCAACAGATTGAAATCACAGCACCTGCGACGGCAAATCCCAACGAATTGGTGGGCCTCAAGGTAAAAACCGATCCCCATTCTTTTGTCGGTCTCCTGGGAGTTGACCAGAGAGTGCTGCTTTATACAACTGACAACGACCTCGACCATAACCAAATATTTAACAATCTCGAAAAGTACTCGAACGCTGTGGTAACGCTGACCAATGCAAAAATATACAACGACCCAGACTGGTGTAATGGTGAGTAAATGTCTACTTTGTGAAGAATATTTGCACCAAACTAAACACATTATTTGTCAGATATTTTGACGTGGAGATTCAATAATAACTGTCCTCCGAAACACGGTAAGCTATATCCTTGCCGAGGGTATTATAATTTCAGTAATTTCCGACCCTATAAGGTATTTATATTCTTGATCAGCATCAACAGAAGAGTCGATCTAGCCATGTCCGTATGTCCATCCGTCTGTCCATCCGTCCGTTTCCACGCAAACTAGTCCCTCAGTTTTAAAGCTATCTGCTTGAAATTTTCCCAAAAGTTATCTTTCTATTGCAGGTAGTATTTATTTATTTACTATATCCAAATTACTCTTTTTTGTCAAATTCGGACAACAATATCATGTAGCTGCCATAGAAACGATGGCAAAATGCAGGTTAAAATCGACATATCCTCATTGTTTTTTGTAATATAGGAATTCGATGTAGTCCTTTTTTTAATAACTGCAAGGGTATGTAAACTTCGGCTTTTCGAAGCTTGCTTCCTTTCTTGTTTGCAATAAAACATTCATTAATTTCAGACGGCCTACGTTCTTCAGAAATTGTAAAGGATACTCCTCCATCAACTTCTCAGTGGTTTCCTGACACTTGGCTATTTTCAAATATAACTGAGTAAGAATGTAATTTTTAAATTCAAAATCTACGATCTAACTGAATTTTTCAGAGTGGGTGACAATGGAAATATAACGCTGATTAAACGGATCCCCGATACTATGACTTCATGGATTGTCACTGGCTTCTCTTTGAACACCGATTCGGGCATTGCCGTGGCCAAGATCCCAACCAGACTTCAAGTGTTCCGCCCTTTCTTTATTACCACTAATCTGCCATATTCTGTGAAAAGAGGTGAAGTAGTTTCCATTCCCGTCATGGTGTACAATTTCTTGGGCACTCCTGTGGAGGCGACGATATCGATAGATAGCTCCGACAAGGAGTACGAGATTATCGAGGTCACCAATGGGAATGTGACGAAGTGGCAGCGGGAAAAGGGGCTACGGATACCCACCAATAGCGGACAAAGCACTTTATTTATGATCCGCCCAAACAAAGTGGGTCTAATCAATCTGAAAATTACTGCGGTATCCCCAATTGCCAGTGACACTATCGTCCAGAGATTGAAAGTGGAAGCCGAAGGCGCGACCAATTATGTCAGCAAAACCATATTAGTCAACCTAGAAGGGCACCATCCCTTGAATTCGTCCGAGCAGGAGAAAACAGTAGACGTAGATATACCCCCTGATGTTGTGGAAGACTCTACGTTCATAGATTTTAAAGTAAGCGGAAGGATCTTGGTGCCACAACTGCCAAACATGGAGGATCTAGTTGGATTGCGCACTGGGGATCAGAATCTGCTAAACTTCATATCTCAAATCCTGGCTTTGGAAGCGAGCCAAAGCAACAATTCTGAGATATTGGGTCTTGCCAAAAAATATTTGGAAAGTGGCTACCACAACGAACTGACCTACAAATTGGATGACGGTTCCTTCAGCGCTTTTGGAAAGGCTGATGTTACGGGCAGCACTTGGATCACCGCCTTTATAATCCGCTCATTCCACCAGGCTGCTAAATATATAGACATTGATCCCAACGTCTTAACAGCTGGCCTCGAGTTCCTCGCTTCCCGGCAGGAGCAAAATGGATATTTCCGCGAGCTGGGCAGGGCCTATAAAAATCACTATGAAACTCCCTTGGCTCTTACCTCATTCGTACTGCTGGCCTTTTACGAGAATAAGGTAAACTTTCTGTCTGCTTGAAAAAATCATCCTATTCTTTAAAATTAATTTACATTAAATTGTTTTTTTTTATTTACAGGAGCACATCTCCAAGTTTCAGAATGTAATTGATAAGGCCGTTCAATTTGTGGCCCGGGAAGTGGACCAGTCAAATGAGCCGTATGATCTGGCCATCGCCGCTCTGGCCCTTCAATTGGCAAAAAATGTTAAGGCCGATGGAGTTCTGTCCAAGTTGGAAGGTATGGCAAGCCGGGAAGGTGACCTCAAGTGGTGGCCCGGTTCAGAAAACGGCATGAGCGACTACGAGGTCACCGCCTATGTCCTGCTCGCTCTGCTGGAGAAAGAAATTGAAGGATTCACTGTCAACAATGTCCATTGTTTATTGGCTGATTAGCAAAGCGCAACAGCAACGGGAGATTCGCCTCGTCCCAGGAATCGGTTGTGGCCCTAATGGCTCTGGCCAAATTCGAACTGCAAACCCACACAGGTGTTGGAGAAATTAACATTAGGTATTCGATTTCGGATGATAACTGGAAAACCATAAGAGTGGCCCCCGAGAATGAGATGATGCTGCAGTCCCACGAGCTTCCAAGGAATGCTCGGCGGGTTAAGTTTTCGGCCACTGGACAGGGTCGCGCTCTCGTCCAGCTCTCATACCGCTTCAACGTAGTCACGAAGGAGCCAAGTCCCAGTTTCAAGTTGACCGTCTCGGGTACGGAGCCGGGCAAACGACGTTTAGTGCTCGACATTTGCGTCGAATACACACCGATTAAAGCCTCCGATCAGGGAAAACCTTCGAACATGGCACTAATGCAGATCCAGCTGCCATCCGGATATGTAATCCACCCGGAGTCCCTTGCCAACATACGAAGTGTCCCAAAAGTAAAGCTCGTGGAATCAAAGAAATCGGGCTCAGAAGTCCTCGTCTTATTCGATCAAATGACGCCCGTTGACCAGAAGTGCCTGATCCTGAAGGCTGTCCTTATTCATGAGGTTATCAACCACCAACCGTCTTGGATTCGGTTATACGACCACTACGACACTGAGCGCAGCGTCACTGAGTTTTACCAGTTAAAGTCTTCACTTAAAAAATTGTAAATAATAGAAAGAACAAGAAAGGAAAGCTAACTTCGGGCGGAGCCGAAGTTGATATACCCTTGCAGAATATTCTGTAAATTATATTCTCCAAAATTATTATGATGCAATCTTAATACTCATAAAAATCCCAACTTCCAAACTTTAAAAACACCAAAGTTATGGCATTTCCAATCGTTTAGTTATATGGCAGCTATAGGATATAGTCGGCCGATCCTTAAGAAATTTGGTAGGTCGGATTGATTGGCCAAAAATAAAACCCATAAAAATTCCCAACTTCCTAACATAAAAAACACTAAAGTTATGGCCTTTCCGATCGTTCAGTTATATGGCTATAGAATATAGTTGGCCGATCCGGCTCGTTTCGACTTATATACTACCTGCAATAGAAAGACAACTTTTGGGAAAGTTTCAAGCAGATAGCTTTAAAACTGAGGGACTAGTTTGTGTAGAAACGGACAGACGGAAGGTCAGACGGAAGGTCAGACGGACGGGCAGACGGACATGGCTAGATCGACTCTCCTGGAGATGCTGATCAAGAATATATATACTTTATTGGGTCGGAAATGTCTCCTTCACAGCGTTGCAAACTTTTGACTGACATTATAATACCCTCTGCAAGGGTATAAAAATAAACTGTTAATAAATTTAGAAAAGGTAAACTCTTCTTTTTTGTTTACCTTAAAACTATGTAATGCAGAGAAGCAGCAATTTTTGCTCATCAGTCGTTTGTTAAATTTGTCGCTTTTAATGAAATTGTTGTATTTCTCGCTGTTTTTTGTATGATATGCTTATATTCAGTTTATTGGATCAGTGTAAAATTGTATTTTTTTATGATCATTGATAAATAATCATTGCCAATCGAACTATAGAATGCTGCCATAGAATGGATCGGATTAATATATCTCGCTGTTGTTGTTTATTTTAATGGTCTTATATAATTTCATTTTATTTGGCTATATCCTATAGCTTACAAATGTATATTCGCGCAATGTAGGCTGTCATCGAAAGGAATTTTCGGACTCTATAATAATTAATTTAAATTTGGCGCTCTTCTTTTAGTATTAAATTAATCCTTGCCGTTACATTCGACGTTTGGATATTTAATTCGCCATTTGGTCCCTTACACCAGTTGGCCACACTTAATGGAATGCACTATCTGCTCGTCTATTATTGTTTTTTTTTTTGAGCATTCGATTGGATTGGGATAGGATTGGATAGAAGCTTGCTAAAAAGACAAAGAACCAGCATAAAGATGCCTCGCCTAGTCAATGGACGCGAGGCCGCACCCACATACTCTAATTTGGTAAGGTTTACTTAAATAAATTCAAAAGAGGCTCCTTTCACCAAAACAATAGCCATATGCAGTTTGTGCAATATGATCCAACTTTTAATAGAGTTCAAAAAAATATGTACACATATTTCTGATATTAAAAATTTAAGAATTTTCACTACACCCACTTCTATAATTTTTGCTGCGTATGCACATAATTGGCGATTTCGAGAACGCAACACCTGTCGCTTCGCGAGTAATGTTTTCTTTTTGTACCCGCAGGTCGGCTTCATATTCATTTTTAATCTCATTGTGGGAACTGGAGCCCTAACACTGCCTGGAGTTTTTTCTAGGGCAGGCTGGATGCTGAGCCTCATCGTTATTGTTCTACTGGCCATCATAAGTTATATGACCGTAACCTTTATCATTGAGGCTATGGCCTGTGCGAATGCCATCAGGAATTGGCAAACTCTGCAGGCCTTGCGACAGAGTCGAAGTTCCGCTGAGAACAGTGAAAACGATGATAATGCTGATGAAGTCTCTCTCACATCGGGAGCAGATCCAGTTGGGGACTTCGAGCGGGTTCCGTTGACCATCCAAAACCGGGAGTTTCATTACTACCAGCTCTCCCACAAATTCGAACTGGGCGAAATGGCGACACTATTCTTTAACGAATTCGGCCGTGTAATGTTCTATCTCTGCCTGATAGTTTATCTTTACGGGGATCTAAGCATTTATTCCGCCGCCGTGGCAAGAAGTCTGCGTGACGTTGTATGGTGAGTAATGAAAGTCAAACTTAACAAATGAAGTCTTAAAACGGGGCATGATGTTATAACATATGGATTCGAATACTTCACATTATTTAATGCATCCACAACTCTTGTTCGTTATAATGAAAAAGAAATTGTTTTAATCTACATGGAAATAACTTTATGAGGTGATTATTTAATTTTCCGATTTCGACTGCTTTTAGTGATCAAACAAACGGAACGGACACTAACAACTTAATGTATTGGCCAGGAGACTTCAAGAATAATACATCACGGGCCTGCTGGAAGGAACACACCATATCTCGCTTAAGCATGTACAGAGTGTTTTTAATTGGATTCACTCTGATCTTCGGTCCATTTGTTTGCTTTAATGTACAAAAAACAAAATACTTGCAGATGCTCACTGCTGCCTTCCGATGGATGGGTAAGCTATAAGATATTTTAGACTTCAAAATATTAACAACTCTTTTGAATTGCAGCTTTTACCCTAATGATTTGCATATCGCTAAAACTTTTGATCACTAGAGGTCCCAAAGGACACCCGGAGACCTTCAACGTATATGGTATTCCTCCGCTTTTTGGCGCTTGTGTGTACTCGTTTATGTGTCATCATTCGTTGCCCAGTTTGTTGGCACCCATTAGGCAAAAGTCTATGGTTTCGAAAATTCTCTCTTTCGACTATATTATTATCTGTGCATTTTACATTTTACTAGCCATGACTGGTATTTTTGCCTTCGAACGAATAGAAGATCTTTACACATTGGATTTTCTGCCCTACGATGTGAACTACGTAGATTTTTGGTCAGGTTTATTAATTTGCATTGATTATTTCTTGGCCCTTTTCCCCATTTTCACACTGTCCACCAGTTTTCCCATTGTGGCCATAACCTTGAAAAACAATCTTCAATCACTTTTCCTGGACATGTCACAATTTGAATCATATAGTCTTTTTGTGCGTGTGTGGTTCCCTTTACTCGCCATAATTCCGCCGTTTTGTATCACTTATTTTACGGAGAGTTTGTCCAGTTTGGTGGCATTTACTGGCACCTATGCTGGCACAGGCATTCAATACATAATCCCGGTCTTCCTAGTTTACTTTTCGAGACGCACTTGCTCAGAGCTCCTGGGAAGCGGAGTAATCAATCGTTTTCAAAGTCCTTTTAAGTCCAGTGCCTGGCTCGTTTTCGTTTTTATTTGGTCTATTCTATGCGTCTGTTTGGTATCCATTAATTTGTTTAGTTAGGCTTAACTATATCCAAAAATATAGATTATTTTATGGCAACGAGTTTATTACCGGTTAATAAAGTTACCTACATATTTGTACATATTTACAACTGGAAATGATAAAATGTAAGCGAATTTAGCAATGTAAGTGAGTATTGATCGGCTGTGAACTCAAATTTTCAATAAAATTTATGTATAGGGTCTGAGATTTCCGTTTTTTATTTCTTTTTTTGCAAATACTTAAAATTCTAATAATTATCGTTACATCAGTAGGTTTTCTGAATCTAAATGTATTTAAGAAAAAATTATAAGAAATATTTTCATTAAAAATGTTTGATCAATATTAGTTTTTAAGATCGCTCAATAAAAATGTATCCATAATATTAAATTGAACTGAATTAAACAATATAAAAACCATTTTTGTTTAATTAATTTATAATTATTAAATACACCTTTATATATTAAAATACTGTTTTTTAAAAATTATGAAAGTGGACATTCGTAAAACAACGTTTTTCGTTTGTTATACCGGATAAGTGCGGATAATCTGTGGCAGTGTGAACGTTTTCCTGTTTTCAGAAATTATCCATTCAACAGTAGGTTATCGAATTGTTAATCGAAATATTCCCCACCTCTAAAACTGAACGGTTTGTTTTTATTTTGGTGTGCGACTAGCATTTTTTAGAGACCCAGCAGTTTTGTTGAAATAGACTTAAATATGTCTCTGTCGGTCGACAATAATAAGTCCTTGCTAAGGAAGGGAGACATGAAACTGGATAACTATCCCACATGTGCGGTGGAGGCACTTACTCGATTGGGTACTAATTTATTTCCATTAATATTGGCACATACATTAACTATACTTTTTCAGAAACATTAATCGCCAGCCGGAACAAACAGAATATGGTGATGCAAATCATATCCGAGTACATATTCCTGGAGAGAACCGCCAAGGATGGCGATGTTCGAAACAAGTCGCAGGCACTGCCCATCAGCCAGATGAATCTGTTTCAGGAGTTCCAGCTTATTATTGCGCTGATTGAGTACTTCTCGCGACCAGGAAGGGATGCCACCCGCAATGCCATCTTCCTCTCGCTATTTGGAAGCCACTTAAATCCGCAACGATCCAAGCTGCTATCCCGGCTGATCAGTACAGCGGTTTCCGGATCCGTGGCCCCCCTGCTCTCCTCGGCCGGCACGTGGATGCAACAGGTGGGCTGCAAGACGCCACTCAGCCTGGAGGTGGCCCAGAATATAGTCAGTGATTTCATCTCGTACTCCCGGAAAACGCCGGAGCAGCTGAAGCAGCTGCCCATGGTTGGTCCGCACTTTGCGGCCAACTTCATGGTGGCCGTAGCGGATCTGTATCTCAATGAGCAGCGTTCGCAGTCCCTGAATCCCCCGCCTGATGCACTGCTAGATACTATTACCGAGTGGATGACAGAAAATCCTACGTTGTGTCAGGCCTCGCAGCAGCCTTTGGTCCTGCCAGCCGGAGCTATAGCCATGCCGTTTGCCACTCCCTTAGCTGGTCTGCTGCGTTGGGTGGTCCTGGCTCCTTTGGTCTCCAACCGGACTGCCTACAGTAATCTGCATCTTTCCCTACTGCGGGCCCTGCAGCAACTTGTAAGTAGCGGAGAATCAACGGCCCTGCCCAGTCAGGACCTTATGCAGATCGTTAAATCCCTGCAGAACTATTGCGCACGGCTGGGGGAGTCTAAAACGAATCCCGAAGCGGATGCTGCCTACCAGAAGTGCATGGAGCGATTTGCACAAGCCGTGCAAATCGCCCTGAGTTCCAACTGCATTAGCAATCAGATACAGCTGCTGTGCGTCCTGGAATCGCTACCTCCACACAAGCTGATGAAAATCGTTATTTCAGCACATAAAAAATAGAAAATGTAGTTATTATAAAATATGTTTGGTAAAAGTAAGTTGGCCTACATTTTTTTGCAATATTCTGGTTTACTTATTACGAAATTTGATGATAAATTATGATGATGGGCAAATAAGTTTAGTAAGAAATAGGGTGTTAAAATGGTAGTTTAGGATAAGCTAACTGGTATTTCTGTTAATTATATTAAATTAAAAATACAACTTTTATCTTTACCAATCTAAACAATCCAAAAATCTTTTTAATCAATCGATAAAGTGTTGCTTATAGATAAGAAAAACCAACTTCAAAGAATAAAGTTTTTTAAGATTGATTTAATATGGATTTGATCCAGCAGTTTATCGTTTCAATTTCTCTGTAGGTTAATATAAGCTTACCATCCTTTAGAAACTATAACTGTACTTTTAAAAAAATTGTTAGTGTTATACATAGTTTGGTAGATGGTATTATAAAATCTTTAGTTTTATTTTGAGAATGTTCTTTTTTATATTTAAAAACATTTTTATCCCGCTCTAGTGGGGAAGCTGCCATACTGATTGTCATATTATTTTAGCGCGCATGTCCTTGAGAGAAAATGAGCAGGTGACAGGACTTGCTGGGATGTGTTAAAAATCAATACTATTCCAGTTTGAAGTTTGCGTCGCGGTGCAAGCTTGTTGAATAGAATCAAAATTCACGGGAGGAAACCTCCGCGAGGGAAATCTTTGGCAAATACCATCATCTTCCAGACGATGCAATGAATCCCGTGCCGAACCGCGAATTCCTGGAGGTCCATCCACTGCACCAACATCAGCCGCACTGCAAGCAGCAATGTTTTGTCTTCACAGAGATAGCGGATATTGAACTGCCCGCGGAAATAACTAAATTTGGAGGGGGAAATGAAAAGATCCGGTGCTCCAACGGGGGCATTCCCACTTACAGTTCCAAGAAGGACTCCTGCAGCGAGTCTTCGGGCGAAAGACCGGAAAGATCGCGAGGGCGGAAGATTCTGATGGGCGTGGGTGTAGTTCTCCTGTGCATCGCCATGGCCGGAGGGATTCCACTGGCCCTTCAACTGCGCTCCTCGTCGCTCCTGGAAGCCCGACTTGCCTTCATCCGGCGCCTGCTGACGGAGTCGCCTCTGATCGAGGGCTCCTGGAAGCCACCGAGCACCATGAGTCTGAACAGCAGCAATCTGTTCGAGGTGCGGCAGAATCACATAGGTGCTGTTCTCTGGCCCATTGCCGTGCCGTGCGGAGCCCAGTACCTGGATGCAGTGCAGCTCACTCTGGAGGGAATCGATAGGGCCAGGCGCATTACCGCCGCCACGGACCTAATGCACATTGTTGAGTCGGCGGATGAGATGGAGCAGTCCCACCTCCAGGGTGAAGTGGCTGTCCTCATGGGGATCAGTGGTGGCCATGCCCTCGGCACCAGCACGGCCGTCTTGCGCTCCATCTACCTGCTGGGAGCTCGATTCGTGTCCATCACGAGCCTGGAGTGCACCACTCCTTGGGCGGCGGCAGCTATCCGAAGACCGGATTATCTCGTCGAGGAGAACGTGACGAATTCCTTCAACAAATTCGGACAGGTGCGTACAAACTTGATGGGAAAATGCTCAAGTGTTGTCAGAAAATATAATAAAGTTGTTAAAATCTAAATCTAAATCTTCCCAATTTAAGTTACAAAAGTAAAATATATTGTAGTTTAAATAATTAAATAATATTAAAATCGAAAATTTACACTTTAGCCAGCCACGTTTTTAATAATAACCAAATTTATACTATACATAGATATGTTAATGGTTACAAACGATGAAAAAAAATCCTACCTTCACACATTTTCTGGCTAAATTTTGATAGATTGATAAAATTCGATTCACATTATTTGTATTTGTGAAGCAACTTTTACAAGCAAATTGGAAATGGTACAACATTTTCTAATAAGATTTATGCATTTTCCCACTCGTTATTATGGGTTTAAATACACCTTTGTACTTTGGTAGTACCATTTTCACGAATATTAAATTTTGCCTTTGATTTCCTTGACAATTTTTAGACAATGCTCTTTGAGATGAATCGCCTGGGAATGCTGGTGGAGATTTCGATGCTCAGCGAGGCGGCCATGTTAGCCGTCATAAAAACCGCTAAGGCTCCCGTTCTCCTTACCAACGCCACACCACTTTCCATGTGCAATAGTAGCAACACGGCTTCCATTCCCGATCATGTTCTCAGGTTGGACATTTTGAGGAGTGTGTTTTTCTATAATCAAGCTAATATTTTTCTCACCCACAGCCTATTGCCAGAGAACGGTGGAGTTATTTTACTCAACCTGGAGCGCTGTGGAGATCGAACACTGGGCGTTCGAGAGGCCATAACTGCCATAAACTATGTTCGTAAGGTTGCCGGTGTTGATCACATTGGATTAGGTGGAGCTCCTAAAAGCTATTCTCTTTTGCTGGCCGAATTGGCTCGGGACAGGGTGTGGGGAAATGCAGCCATTAAGAAGCTGGTTGGAGGTAATGTAATGAGAATTCTGCGGGAGGTCGAAGCCCTTAAGGATCGAAGGACCTTGTACGAGGAGTGGATTCCGCACGAGTCCATCGAAAGCAATTCCTATTGCCGCTATCCGGAGTCTTAGGATCAGCAACTTCAATTGGCTCAATCGATTGTTCTTAAATAATTAATAAAATATTTAATTAAACTATTAAAGTACAATTGACTGTGTATTACATTTAAAAGCCAGAAATAGGTATGTGCAATGCTGTTAATACTTATCCACCTAACCCTCATTAACATGCCTATTCGAGAAGTACATTTGTACATAGGTTTATTTTTAATGAATATCATTCTAGGTAAATACATATCGGTGTATAATGATATTATAATATTGTTATGCTTAACTACTACTAGACCTTCAACGACTATTTTACACTGATGCCAGTTCGCACTCCGAGGGTCAGGGAAATCACTTCTTGCTCTGAGGGTCGCTCATTAAACTCTCGCTTCATTATTCTCTTGGATAAGAGATCCTCATTCTCGTCGAACTTTAACTCGCGCTTCACCCTAGATGCCTCGCTTTCGTCATCGTCCAGCTCGAAAACGTTGTTATCGGTGAGTGCCAAGTGATTGATTTCATTGAAGAACAAGGTCTTTGCATTTCGAATAGTTCTGTCGTAGCCCGGATCACTCAGGGGTGGCAGATATGTGGCAGGGATTCGGCTTGTGCCCTTGTACCCGGAATCAGGGCAACGTGGATCAATGGATCCTGGGTAGCAATAGACAGGTGTGGTACCAGCGATCGGCGTTCTTGTCGTTGTCGCTGGCAGGCACTCAGGATCCGGTGATCCTGGATAGCACCTGGGCCTGGGTGTCGTTTTCTGGGGGCAGCGACTGTCTGTAGAGCCTGGATAGCAATTTGGCTTGGAAGTAGTTACAGGAGCTCTTGTCGTGGGGGCAGGCTGACACTCAGGACCGTTGGAGCCAGGGTAACATCTACTTGCTGTTGTTGGCGGAAGATAAGTAGCTGGTTGGCAGTAGGGATCGTTAGAGCCAGGATAGCAACGCGGCTTGGGTGTAGTTATCGGCGTTCTCGTTGTTGGAGGCGAATAAGTTGCTGGTTGGCAATCGGGATCATTTGAACCCGGATAACACCTAGGTCTAGTCGTAGGAATAGTTGTGCGTGCCGTCGTTGGTGGGAGGTAAGTAGGGGGCTGACACTCAGGGTCCTTTGAGCCTGGGTAACATCTCGGTTTTGGTGACGTCACTGGTTCCTGTGGACAGCGTCTATCCGTCGAGCCAGGGTAACAATTTGGCTTGGAAGTAGTTACGGGAGTCCTTGTAGTCGGAGGAGAGTAAGTTGCTGGTTGGCACTCTGGATCGTTGGAGCCAGGATAACATCTTGGCCTTAAAGTTGTTGGTTGTTCGCAAGCAGGATCAGAAGACCCGGCGTAACAACTTGGTGTTGAAATTGGAGTTCTTATAGTTGTGGGCTGTGTCGGTTGCGGACACCTTGGATCAGTTGATCCTGGATAGCAATTCGGCTTTGGCGCACTTGTAGGCGGTCGATAAGTTGATGGAGGTAAATAAGTAGCAGGCTGGCATTTTGGATCATCGGAACCCTCATAACACCCGGCCTTCCTTGTTGTCGGGATTTTCGGGCATCTCGGATCTGGGGAGCCAGGGAAACAATTCAGGCATTCAGGATCTGATGAGCCGGGGAAGCACCTAGGCTGCGCAGTAGTGGGTTGTTCCTGTGGACAACGACTATCTTTTGAGCCCGGATAACAATTAGGCTTGGGTGTTGTTACAGGTGTTTTAGATGTTCGTGGCTGGCAGTAAGGATCGCTTGATCCAGGATAACACCTTGGCTTAGATGTAGGAATTGTTGTTCTAGCCGTTGATGGAGGAAGATACGTTGCAGGCCGACAATCAGGATCTGTAGAGCCTGGATAACATCTTGGTCTTGGAGTCGTTTGGGGCTTCTGTGGACAGTGACTATCAGTTGAGCCTGGATAACAGTTAGGTTTCGATGTAATTATTGGCCTTTGAGTTATTGGAGGCGAGTATGTTGCGGGCTGACAGTCCGGATCATTGGAACCCAGATAACACCTTGGCTTGGGCGTAGCAATGGTTGTTCCTAGTGTTGTTGGTGGAAGATAAGTAGCGGGTTGACATTCAGGATCCGTCGAGCCCGGGTAACACCGAGGCTTTGCCGTCGTCACTTGAGGACAGCGTAAATCTGTCGAACCCGGATAACAATTTGGCTTGGAAGTTGTCACAGGTGGTCTTGAAGTAGCTGGTTGACACTCTGGATCCTTTGATCCTGGATAACACCTTGGCTTCAAAGTAGTAATTTGCGATCTTGAAGTCGGTGGCGTATAAGTTGCTGGTTGGCATTCCGGATCATTAGATCCTGGATAACACCTCGGCCTAGATGTAGTTATAGGCGTCCTTATGGTGGTAGGTTGAGTTGGTAGCGGACAGCTGGGATCCGTTGACCCTGGATAGCATCTGGGCTTGGGTGCAATCGTGGGAGGACGACGAGATGAAGGAGGCAAATATGTGGCAGGCTGACATCTCGGATCATCTGAACCATCATAACATCCTGCCTTCCTTGTGGTTGGAACCTTGGGACATCTGGGATCTGGCGAACCGGGATAACAATTAAGACACTCCGGATCTGTTGAGCCGGGATAGCACTTTGGCTGCGGAGTAGTAGGTGGTTTTTGAGGACAACGAGCATCCGTCGATCCTGGATAACAATTAGGCTTAGATGTTGTTATAGGTGTTCTGGTTGTCGGAGGCGAGTAAGTTGCTGGCTGACAAGCGGGATCGCTTGAGCCCGGATAACACCTTGGTTTTGAAGTAGTTATGGTAGTTCGGGCAGTCGTAGGTGGAAGATAAGTTGCAGGCTGGCAATCAGGATCTGACGAGCCTGGATAACATCTGGGCTTTAATGTAGTTATGACTGGCCTTGATGTCGGTGGGGAATATGTTTTTGGTTGGCAATAGGGGTCGGTTGATCCCGGATAACACCTTGGCTTAGTGGTGGGAATGGTTGGTCTTGCAGTTGTTGGAGGAAGATACGTTGCAGGCTGACATTCAGGATCTGTAGACCCAGGATAACATCTTGGCTTTGGTGTCGTAGGCGGTTTTTGTGGGCAACGACTGTCCGTTGAGCCCAAATAACAAATTGGCTTCGATGTAGTTATAGGCCTTCTAGTAGTTGCTGGTGGTTGGCAGTCAGGATCATCGGAACCAGGATAACATCTGGGCCGAGCCGTAGGAACCGTAGTGCGTGCCGTTGTTGGTGGTAGGTAAGTTGCAGGCTGACATTCAGGATCCGTTGAGCCAGGGTAACATCTAGGCTTCGGTGTCGGAACGGGTTCTTTTGGACAGCGAGTGTCGGTTGAGCCCGGATAACAATTTGGCTTGGAGGTCGTTATAGGCCTTCTTGTCGTTGGAGGAGAGTATGTGGCTGGTTGACATTCTGGATCATTAGATCCTGGATAACACCTAGGTCGAGATGTAGTTATAGGAGTCCTTCTTGTGGTTGGTTGAGTTGATTGCGGGCAGCTGAGATCTGTTGATCCTGGATAGCATCTGGGCTTGGGTGCAATCGTCGAAGGACGGCGAGATGAAGGAGGCAAATATGTTGCAGGCTGACATCTTGGATCATCTGAACCATCATAACATCCAGCCTTCCTTGTGGTTGGAACCTTGGGACATCTGGGATCTGGCGAACCGGGATAACAATTAAGACACTCCGGATCTGTTGAGCCGGGATAGCACTTTGGCTGCGGAGTAGTAGGTGGTTTTTGAGGACAACGAGCATCCGTGGATCCTGGATAACAATTAGGCTTAGATGTTGTTATAGGTGTTCTGGTTGTCGGAGGCGAGTAAGTTGCTGGCTGACAAGCGGGATCGCTTGAGCCCGGATAACACCTTGGTTTTGAAGTAGTTATGGTAGTTCGGGCAGTTGTAGGTGGAAGATAAGTTGCAGGTTGGCAATCAGGATCTGACGAACCTGGATAACATCTGGGCCTTGGTGTAGTTAAGACTGGCCTTGATGTCGGTGGGGAATATGTTTTTGGTTGGCAATATGGGTCGGTTGATCCCGGGTAACACCTTGGCTTAGTGGTGGGAATGGTTGGTCTGGCAGTTGTTGGAGGAAGATACGTTGCAGGCTGACATTCAGGGTCCGTTGAGCCAGGGGAACATCTAGGCTTTTGTGTCGGAACTGGTTCTTTAGGACAGCGACTATCCGTTGAGCCTGGATAGCAATTTGGCTTTGATGTAGTTACTGGCCTCCTGGTAGTCGGAGGGGAATAAGTGGCTGGCTGACATACCGGATCATTAGATCCCGGATAACACCTAGGCCGGGCTGTTGGAATTGTGGTTCTTGCAGTTGTTGGTGGGAGATATGTTGCTGGCTGACACTCAGGATCTGACGATCCCGGGTAGCATCTTGGCTTGGACGTGGTAATTGGTTGCTTAGTTGCAGGTTGACATTCAGGTTCCCTCGAGCCCGGATAACATCTAGGCTTGACAGTTGTAACAGGTAGTCTTGTTGTTGGAGGTGAGTAAGTAGATGGCTTGCATTCAGGATCATTGGATCCTGGATAACACCTAGGCCTAGATGTAGTGATAGGTGTCCGTCTCGTGGTTGGCTCAGTTGGTTTGGGGCAAGTGGGATCTGTTGATCCTGGATAACACCTGGGCTTAGGTGCGATTGTGGGAGGGCGTCGAGATGAAGGAGGTAAATATGTAGCAGGTTGACATCTTGGATCGTCCGACCCATCAAAGCATCCTGCCTTCTTTGTGGTGGGAACCTTTGGACATCTTGGATCTGGCGAACCGGGATAACAATTAAGACACTCCGGATCTGTTGAGCCGGAATGACACTTAGGCTGCGGAGTAGCAGGAGGTTTCTGAGGACAACGACTATCGGTAGAACCAGGATAACAATTCGGTTTGGAAGTAGTAATGGGCGTTCTTGTTGTTGGTGGCTGACAATAAGGATCACTCGAACCAGGATAACACCTTGGCTTTGTTGTAGGAATCGTTGTTCTTGCTGTTGTTGGAGGAAGGTAAGTTGCTGGTTGACAGAAAGGATCCGGTGATCCCGGATAACATCTCGGTTTTGGAGTCGTTGGAGGTTTCTGTGGGCAACGACTATCTGTTGAGCCCGGATAACAGTTTGGCTTCAACGTAGTTATAGGCCTTCTTGTTGTCGGAGGCGAGTAAGTAGCTGGTTGGCAATCAGGGTCATTCGAGCCCGGATAACACCGTGGCTTGGATGTCGGAATTGTTGTTCGTACCGTAGTTGGTGGGATGTAAGTAGCCGGCTGACATTCGGGGTCCGTTGAGCCAGAGTAACATCTAGGCTTTGGTGTCGGAACGGGCTCTTTTGGGCAGCGTCTGTCTGTTGAGCCCGGATAACAATTAGGCTTAGACGTTATTACAGGTCTCCTTGTCGTCGGAGGAGAGTATGTGGCTGGTTGGCATTCTGGATCAGTAGACCCTGGATAACACCTAGGTCTAGATGTAGTTATAGGTGTCCTTCTTGTGGTTGGTTGAGTTGGTTGCGGACAGCTGGGATCTGTTGATCCTGGATAGCATCTTGGCTTGGGTGCAATCGTGGGAGGGCGGCGCGATGATGGAGGTAAATATGTGGCAGGCTGACATCTTGGATCATCTGAACCATCATAACATCCTGCCTTCCTTGTGGTTGGAACCTTGGGACATCTTGGATCTGGCGAACCAGGATAACAATTAGAACACTCCGGTTCTTTTGATCCGGGATAACATTTAGGCTGTGGTGTAGTAGGTGGTTTCTGAGTTACACGGGTAGCTGGCTGACATTCTGGGTCAGTAGACCCCGGGTAACACCGTGTGGTAGCTGCAGGCTGACAGCTGGGATCTGTTGATCCAGGATAGCATCTTGGCCTTGGAGTCGTTTGGGGCTTCTGTGGACAGCGACTATCAGTTGAACCTGGATAACAATTTGGACTTGATGCGGTTACTGGCGTTCTTGTTGTTTGGATTGGTGTTCTCCTTGTGGTTGGTGGAAGATATGTAGCGGGCTGACATTCAGGATCGGTAGAGCCTGGATAACATCTAGGTTTTGATGTAGTAATAGGTGATCTCGTTCTGGGTTGGCAGTCCGGATCAGTGGATCCCGGATAACAACGTGGCTTTAACGTAGGAGTCGGAGTTCTCCTCGTTGTCGGCGGAAGATAAGTTGCCGGTTGACATTCAGGATCATCAGAGCCTGGATTACACCTAGGCCTAGATGTGGTAATAGGAGCTTTTGTTCCCGGTTGACAATCAGGATCAGGTGACCCCGGATAGCAACGTGGTTTGATCGCAGTTCTTCTCGTTGTTGGCGGTAGATAAGTAGCTGGTTGACAATCCGGATCGTTTGATCCCGGATAACATCTTGGCTTTATTGTTGGCGGTGGTCTGACGCGGCAGCGGGGATCGGTTGAGCCTAAAGGACAACTGGGCTGGGATGTTGTCAACGTAGGCTGCGGACAACTGGGATCTGTGGATCCAGGATAGCACCGTGGCCTAGGCGTGAATGTTGAGGCTATTGGTATCCTGATCGTTGTTGGCGGCAGGGAAGTGGGCGTTGGGCACCCTGGTTCTCTGGAGCCGGGATAGCAACGTGGTTTTTGTGAGATGAGATGATCCTGTAGACACTGGGGGTCCGTAGATCCCTCGGAACATGGACCTGACTTCGCACTGCCGCAAGAGTAATCCCTTTTGCAAGCACCATTGCACAGTTCTATGTCACACTTCAGATAAACCTGGGATCGGTCGGGGAACCTAAAGGCTTTTAAAGTATTATAGTAAGTGGCCGTTAGACTAGAGGGCGCTTCAAACTTTCGCCACTCCCCAAATATTTTCTCCTTTATCGAGCATCCTCTTTTGTCCGAAAGTTGCAATCTCTTCGTGGTTCTGGCCTCAAAGTCCATGTCATCGGAGGCATAACATTGCAGTATATTAATGTCCCATGCCTGTTCCGAGTGCTTGACGTTTATGGTAAAAGTTATGTCTGTTCCGAGGGTAAGAGTGCCCTGAATGGGTTTGACATTGGGCGGAGACCCAGTGCCGATTTCCATCCAGCACTCCACAGGACCACTTGGCGTATCCACAGAAATAACTTCGAGCATGTCCACCACAAATGGCTTGAAATAAACAGTCTTCTCACGCTCGTCGCCCCGACTGCACGATATTTTTCGTGCGATATCGAAGCTATTTTGAATATCCCTGTCATCCTGGATAATCAGGATGTTCTCGATCGAAGCGCATACGGAGCACGAGGGCTTGCTGCCGCATCCATTGTATGGCACTGTGAATATGAAACTGCGACCCGCTCGGTCGCCCTTGACGTAGCTGGTTTAAAATAAAAATGTAATTAAAGAAAAGGTATAAAGCTAATAATGATAAATACATACTTGCATTTGGGGTCGTTGTAATACCCCTGACTGTAGATGACTCCCTCGAAGTCCTCGGAGAACTCCACCTCAACCATCATGCCATTACCTTGGTCGCATTTTACATCGATCTTCTCGATGTGCTTAGCTGACAGAGAAGTGTCGCGAGTTAATCTGGTCGAAGAGTCGTCAAACTCAAGTTCGCTTAAAACATCATTGAGCGCCTCATCATCGCTCAGATCAGTGCCCGAAACAGTGACCTTGAGCGTTATGCAAAATAATAAATATATATTTTATGGTTTCTAGATGGTTATCAGTAGTGTACGCACCAAGAGCAAGGCCCACACGAAAATGTGGCCGATGTTGACCATTTTTAGTTAGTCTGAAGCTTTATTCTGCAATATAGTTAATGAATAGGTATAAAATATATTTATGGTGTTTACTAGCAGCTGTTTACGAGCACTTAATTCACTCTTTAATCTTTGTCTCAATGCTATTAAACTATTATTATTTGGAATATATTAAAATTTAGCTTTATTGCGGAAAAACTAAAAAAAACATTATTGAATATAAGAGGCTAACTCATTTAAACAGGTATAAGTATGTAAAATAGGTTGTAATTGATTGAAGTTTTTTTCTCAGCCCAACCCTACCATTTATTTTAACTTTATCTTCTTATACAGTAGACAGGATAATATTTCTGTTTATGGCTTTAAACATTAAACTGCTAATTCAGCTTTTTATTTATGGCCAACTTGGTACTTGTTGAATTGGTCGGTAACTTAATGCCCCGATCAGCCTTCCTTTTGGGTGACTCATTGATGAGCTCGGCGAAAAGGGCTATTTCGATACGATCTTAAAAACCATATATCAAAGCATAAAAGTGACGAAAAATTAATTCGCCCAAAATCAGATACGTATTTGCATTCGCCGGGTTTGTCAACCGATCTCTAGCGTTGGGTGAGGTAAGATCTTCTTTATCGCTAATTACGGTTGAGTGCAACCTCTCGAGTATTTACACGAGTTGCCAACAGCCGGACCTCTTTTGCCCGACGAATGGAGGGTGCTGTGCACCGACACTAAAACGGGTTTGGTTTTTAAATAATACAACTAACCTTTAAAAGAAAAAAAGCTGGGGATTTCAAAATCCATAAATTCAAAACTCACACACGAAGCAGCAAAGGGAGTAGAGAAACAAATAGTGACTAGTGCCTATTTGCTTAGCCGCAGTTGATAAAGGGGCTTCGATTTGGGGCCTTTTGTGTTGGCATTGGCTTCTGCAATTTGATGGCGCTGTTGTTTTTGCCGAATGTCTGTTGCTGTTGCCATTGATGTTGATGTTAGCCCCGGATGATTAGGTGCTTTTTCATTGTGGCCTGGCCCCTTTTGTCTAGGTTATCCCAAGCATTAGGCTAACGAGACGTAAAAAGTACCATTTGATTGCGGATGACTTTGGCGTGAGAAGTCTGCTGTGTGTTCTTGCGTCACTCATTAATTCGATTCAATGGTGCGACCCATAAATACTTGTTCTAACCCGTGAATAAATCTCTCATTAAGTCCAAGAACCCTAAAGCTAAAAAGAAATAGCTTATTGATTTTTCTCATTAGTGATCATAATGTCTTCCTGTTCCTTTCTTTTGTATTATACAAAAATTCCCCCAAATAACAATATGTACATGTTTCCCCTAAATGTTAGGCTTCGTCTCGGTTGTACAAAAACACCTTAAATTTAGCAAGATATCCAGTAGATGATGATGAAACACCCGCCCATTCATACGTCCGATTCATATTCAACACGATTAATATGGCATCTCTTTTGCTCCCTGCTTTTCGTTGGCTTAATCTTTGACGACCTAATTTTTTTGGGTTTTTGGTGGCTCACAACATTGGCCTGATATCTCAGTTTGCACGTTTTTTATATGACTGCATAATTATGCCCAATTTGATAAAAATTGGTTCACTATGTCAGAAAATTGCTCATTTGTTTTTTGCCTGCTTTTAAGTATACCATATTTTTATGTTCGCCAGTTATCAAGATATAGTTATTTGCAAACCTTAAATTAATAGTCAGGTCATTTATTTAATTGCTATACAAACACATTAATGGCTTATTTCGATTGAAAGACAAACTTTAGAATATAAATATGAGTATTTATAGGTACACAATCATCTACTAAATCTACGAATAATTATAATTGGGCAATTATAATTTTCAAAAGCCATTATTGAATAGTGATTTGGGTGTCGAAATTGGAAGTTGGAAAGAATGAGTGTTTCGCCTGTGGATCCTGAGTGTGTGCCCAGTTCATAAGCAATCATATTCAATTGTGTTGGCCAACGATTGAGCGTTAATAAAAACAACTTGGACATTGATGGCTTCACCCTGAACTTTTGACATTTCAGCGCCTAGCATAGGCGTATATCTAGGTATTAATCACGGCGAACAGGTGATTAGTCCGCGGGCTTCGATATGCATATATGTATATTGTGTTTGTATGTCCAAATGCGAGAGTGATCTCTGCGGCGATTGATTTAACCGACATTGCGAGTCTGGTTCTCATAATTGGGACTTAATTCATTGACAAATTGGTGAAATGCTGCTATCTTGCATTCTGGCTGTCTGTTATGGTCACATCTTGATTTGCTTTATGGCCAATTTAGGATAGGCGCCAATTTGGTAAGCCGCTGCTGATCGCTTGTCTTAAAATAGTCATATTATCAACAGTCTAATTTACATTTTTGCGTTGCATATAAGTGGGTATTTATTGCCACTTTGCATATATTATTAAGTGCAAAACATATTTTTGTGAATAAAATTCACGAAGAGTTTGGTGAACTCAAAAATAGGCTATAAAAACCGCGATATTCTTAATTTGCTGGTCTGCCATTAAAAACCTGTGAATTATATTTCGGGGTACTTAACAAATTAAAATACAGTTAGCAATATTGACAAATAAACAACGAAATGCAAATGACATTCAAACACCGGATCTGAGAAACTTGTTTGGCGTTTAAATGATTACAAAGAAATGCGAAAACGGGTAAACGGATTTACAAAAAGAATTCTACTTATTAATCCTAAAACGCTTAAATCAATTGATCTTCTCCGAAGCTCATTTGTACAAGAATAAAAAATATGCGCAGTTGGAAACCGTGAGATTTAAGAATCCGTATTATTTCGGGTTTAACCCGAAGTTTGCCAATTTTATTTTGGCTTTATGATTCTGTCATATTCGTAACATTACTTTTTTTTGATTTGGAGGATATAATTACTTGCGTCACTGACATTCCACTTTCGACTTTTTATACCCGTTACTCGTAGAGTAAAAGGGTATATTGTATTCGTGCAAAAGTATGTAACAGCTAGAAGGAAGCGTTTCCGACCCTATAAAGTATATATATTCTTGATCAGGGTCACTAGCCGAGTCGATATAGCCATGTCCGTCTGTCCGTCTGTCCGTCTGTCCGTCTGTCCGTCTGTCCGTCTGTCCGTCTGTCTGTCTGTCTGTCCGTATGAACGCTGAGATCTCGGAAACTATAAAAGCTAGAAGATTGGCATTTTGCATGCAGATTCTAGGAGTTCCTACGCAGCGCAAGTTTGTTTCAAAAGGTGCCACGCCCCTTTAACGCCCACAATCGCTTATATACGATTTTAAAAATTTAAATATTTCGAAAAGTAAAATGCAGTTTTATTGTGTTTATCAATACCTATCGAAATGTAGAGAAATTTTTCAAATCGGACCATTCGTTAAAAGTTATGCGTGATCAAAGTTTCTATCTCCATCTCCTCGCGCTCCCTTTACCTGAGTAACGGGTATCTGATAGTGGGGCACCCGACTATAGCGTTTTCTTGTTAAATCACCATATATGATAACCGGCGAAATGTAAAATCAAGGTTATTTCTGCGTGGGACTTAATGAAAAAAACAAACAATTACATAAATTTCTGTGGCTTTCATTGATTAAATTTTCTTTTTAAGTTCATTAAATCTTTTCTTTAATTTTAATTAATTGAAATATATAAAAAACTATAAAAAAAGCTATTTTCCTTGCATTTTCAGTTTATATTAAATTTTAGATCAGTTTAATTTCAATAGATTTACATTTGAGACTCAAGATATCGAAAGAATATAGCAGCTTGCTTTATGAATTTATATTTTTGGGGAGGATCATTCTATAACTAAAATAATCTAACAAAAAAAACTATATAAATTTTGTGGTGTTTAAATTAATCATGTTGTTGTAAGTTCACAAAATCACTGGAGTTGGTAAAATGTAAAAAGGTAATTTGAGAGATTTTTGAAATCTATGAAATTGGAAAATATAATTTTTAAAATAATTAAATATTTAATGAGGAATTTTATTAATTCAAAAGATTCTAATTTTAGTCCCAAGATATTTAAAAAAAAAGTATACCACTTCGCTTTATTAATTAAATATTGGTGAGTGGTTCCTTCTATAACTTAAATAAACTTTAGCTTTTGGGTATTCACTGAGTTCACTTTTGGACCATTCACTTGCAGTACATTAAATCGAATCACATTTTTTGGCCTTAATTGGAGGCGCATCGTGGTAAGCACTTAAATTCACTTGGCTGTTTCTTAGTGGAACACATTGACCAATTGGCTAATTAATCGACGGCCATCATATCATTCGGACTATCACTGACTGGACTTGGACTTACTGCACTGGCTGGTGGACTCGTGCTTGGGGAAAAATCGCTGGGATGCAGCTGGCGAAGTGGACGTTGCCGCACTAAGCGCCGAAGAGACTCGTCTTCGTTTATATACACACACGGCATATGATTTAACAAAAATCGTTTCGGATATTGCCTCAAAAATCGAAAGACGCGGCAAGTAAAATAACAGCAACAAAAAACACCAATGCTAGTAGCTTTATATATTGTTGTTTATTTTACGTCGCTCGTGGTTTTATACACGCACACTGAACTGGACTCGGGTAGTACGATTTATTGCCAAGCTGGGCTTATTTATTCGCCGAACTAAACGGGTCCTAAGCAGCAGTAAACATAAGTATACAAAAAGAATTCAGATTAGGATATTTATCTTCTAAGCGTTTAGAAAAAAGGCTAAACAGTACCAGCTTTCAAGTGAGTTTTTTCAAATGTGAAAGGTTACGTGATAATTATCTCAATACATTTCAATTTGTTTGCCAGAACAAGTTGTAGGATCACTGGATTTCGTACATATAGAATATTAAATCGAATGCATTTAATAAATACAAAAACAACAGTTGTGTCATTTGGAACACAATTAAAAAGCTTAAAAAGTTGAATGTAAATTTAATTTAATTCTAAAAAAGCTGTTCATACTTGTATTCAATTGGAATTAGCAATTAAATATCTTTAATAGTTTACGATCATATTTTTCCTTTTCACAAATTACACATCCTTTTACTAACAATAGTTTTAAAAATATCTAGTTTTGTGGATACAACCAATGGAATTGATCATTAGGAAATGAAATAGAAACCTAATGAGTAAGCTATTAATAATGCAAAAGTGAAATTTTCAATCATAAATGCCATTGAACCTAGTGTGGACCATTTTTATACGGTCATTAGGCATTAAGTTTCAAGTCAAGGCCAACATAGTTTCTTGGATCGTATCTAAGGGTATTATGATCATTTTTTTCAAGGCCATTATGGGGCGTAGTCGTTGCATCATGTCACCATCATTAATATAAACATTTTTTAATTGACTGCTCAGAGATAGAGCATCCAGTAGCCCAACGCCTGGAGCCAACTATTTCCTCCATTCATGTGCAGATCGTGGGCAGAGCGACGCGTGAGCAGCATCCACACGCCGTCTTAGCCATCTCAGCCGTCTCAGCCATTTGAGCCGCCGTCTTAGCCATCTTGACCCAAGCGCGCGACTGGCACATTTCGTAGCTGGGGTCTAAAAACTGAAACTGAAAACTGAGCTGAAAAACTGCACCTTCGCCGGTGTGCTTTTAGGGCCATAGAGTCAAAATCCGTCATTGTAACTACCTCCGCTGGTGAGTGGACTAGGATCGCAGGGGGAATGGGAATGGGAATGGTGGCCATATGGAGATGGCGATGGAGATGTTGTCATGCAACTACAGCCGGCATAGCGGACAGGTTGACGCCAATTCCGATGCCGATGCCGATGCGCCTGGTCATCCCTAACAGGTATTAGTATTCAAAGTTTTGGAAGCCCAGCGTCCGCTTCGTGATGCTGATAGATTTTAGCCAAATGGCAACGGTCATGGCGAGATGGTAATGGTAAGTCAGCGATCGGGGCTGTCGCCATGGGAAGAATACGGATGGAGATGGACGGTAAGGTAATTCCCTTAGCCATAGTCACACTAAACCCGAACTTAAACCCAAACTCAAACCCAAGCCCATACCCACATGCAATCACGATCGCATCGCGATAGCAGAGGTGCCAAAGCCGCTTCTGCCTTTGACAAACATCACGTAACCTAGACTGCAATTCGATTACACCCGGTACTCGCAGAGTCCGATGATATTTTGTCGTCAGTCAACTCTAACCATTTTCGAGCCTTTGAATAAATTAAAATCGATGAATATAAAAAGAGCTTAGTCCATTAAATTAAAAGATAATGTGTGTTCCCCAGACAGCGGATGAAAATAATAAAACCCTTAAGCCAAGTTTGATTCTCATATTTTTTACAAATTTAAGGAAAAGGTCAAATATTTTGTCCATCTAAACAGAGTTTTATTGCCAATGCTTAGTATCCAGATTAATATGTATACTAAATTCCTTTTAAATAACTTTAGGGAAGTTCCCATTATTAAAACTAAATCATTCATATAAACATAATTAATTGATTACCTTATATTTTGCCAAAAAAAAAATAAATCACTAAGAACAAAACTATTAAATAAATATTTTCTTCCTAAACTGGTATCTTCTATTCGACTATATTTGTATTTAATTGTTTTTCTTTCATGTTTACTAAAAAACATGCCTTAATACATTGCACTTAACTTCGGTTGATTAGGCTTTACAAAACATAATGAAATGGTTCGGGCTCATACATAAAACTACAAACTTATGGTTATAATAAATTTTGGTCGCATCAAGGGTGTGACAAAATATCTATTGCGTGGATCAACAAAGATCACATATTCTTGCATACAGTCGGCGGCACAAGAGAAACAAATACGCGACCCAGAGCTCAGAAACTTAGTCATTACCGGACATAGTTAAACATAAAAAAATAGTCAAAAGTAGACATTACTTGATCTTCAGCAAGTTTTGATATTTCAGACACACCTTTATTGCGAATAAAATTAACTCCAATGCTTAAAAAAACAAGAAAATTTTAAGTACATATTTATGTGTTTGCTTTTTGACGTTGAGGTTTGTCCATATATCAATTTTAATAAAAGTCTTACAATTAAATTTTCTTAGTGCAAAGTACGTTGTAATGTTTCTAAGCCAATTGTGCGTTAATTTAACATCAATATAAAATCATAATCTTTAGACCATAATATATACTCGTCTGATTTTAGTTAAGATTTATGAACTGTAAAACCATTTACCATATTCATCAACTGACAGCATTCCTATTATAAATGTCGGTCTATTGATTGACATAGTGAAATAACTATCTTCTCAATGAAAATGGATATGGCTATTTCATTTCCGGTTTTTGAACCAAGCACAAGCAAGTTTTAAAGACAAGAAAGAGTTGTTTTAAAAGTATGCTACACAAATTATACATAGTTTATTTATTGCTTATAAATTATTTGTCTTTGATAAAACAACATCGAAAGGTATACATTGGGGGGTTTATTGATATAAATTAAATACTAAGACTTGGTTTTTTATACCCTTGCAGAGGGTATTATAATTTTGGTCAAAGGTGTGCAACGCAGTAAAGAAGACATTTTCGACCCTATAAAGTATATATATTCTTGATCAGGATCGCGTCTTGAGTTTATATAAGCATGTCCGTCTGTCCGTCTGTCTGTTTCAACGCGAACTAGTCTCTCAGTTTTAAAGATATCGTATTGAAACTTGAACAAGAAAGGAAAGCTAACTTCGGGCGGAGCCGAAGTTGATATACCCTTGTAAAATACTCTGTAAATTATATTTTCCAAAATTATTCATATGAGGAAATTCTTAATACTAATAAAAAATCCCAACTTACTAACTTTAAAAACACCAAAGTTATAGCATTTCCAATCGTTCAGTTGTATGGCAACTATAAGATATAGTCGGCCAATCCTTATGAACTTTAGTAGGACGGATTGATTGGCCAAAAATAAAACCCATAGAAAATCCCAACTTCCTAACTTAACAAACACCAAAGTTATGGCATTTCAGATCAATCAGTTATATGGCGGCTATAGGATATAGTCGGCCGATCCTTATGAAATTTGGTAGGTCGGATTGATTGGCCAAATATAAAACCGATAGGAAATCCCAACTTCCTAACTTTACAAACACCAAAGTTATGGCATTTCCGATAAATCAGTTATATGGCAGCTATAAGATATAGTCGGCCGATCCTTATGAAATTTGGTAGGTCGGATTGATTGGCCAAATATAAAACAGATAGGAAATCCCAACTTCCTAACTATACAAACACCAAAGTTATGGCATTTCAGATCAATCAGTTATATGGCAGCTATAAGATATAGTCGGCCGATCCTTATGAAATTTGATAGGTCGGATTGATTGGCCAAATATAAAACCCATAGAAAATTCCAACTTCCTAACTTTACAAACACCAAAGTTATGGCATTTCCGATCAATCAGTTATATGGCAGCTCTAGGATATAGTCGGGATATAGCCGTTCCGACATATATACTGCGTGCAAAGGAAAGAAGGCTGTGTGCAAAGTTTCAACTCGATAGCTTTAAAACTGAGAGACTAGTTTGCGTAGAAACAGACAGACGGACAGACGGACATGGCTATATCAACTCAGGAGGTGATCCTGATCAAGAATATATATACTTTATAGGGTCGGAGATGTCTCCTTCACTGCGTTGCACACTTTTGACCAAAATTATAATACCCTCTGCAAGGGTATAAAAACACACCCTTCGTTCCTTTGCACGCAGTATATAAGTCTAAACGGCCGGGATCGGCCGACTATATCCTATAGCCGCCATAACTTTAATGTTTGTAAAGTTAGGAAGTTGGGATTTTTGATAAATTTTTGTAACAGGTAAGAATGGAAAGGTAGTTATAAATTGTGTACGTCATTAACAGTCACTATAATTTAAATACAGCTTTTGTTTCTTGTCAATGTAATGTAATCTTTTTAAAAACTATCCCTTTAGCTTTTTAGATTTCGATTTTTTGAAACATTTTTTAGTGTGACATTTTTTATCGCACTTCAAAAAAAGCTCACCGAAAAGCTGATTCCTGTCCGTGTGGAAACATTCTGCAAGTGAAAATAGAGCTTTAGAAATTGATGCAAAAATCGATACAGTCACAGCTGTTCGTGTACAACAAGTGAAAGTGTCCCGGAGTGCCGCAAAATATTCCCCAAAAAAATAGAACAAAATCCCTGAGTTCTGAGCTCCAAAAGTGGTCTGTGAGGCGTTAATTCCTTCGGAGTTGGTTTCAATCGAATCAATCAGGATGCCGAGCTCGAGACGGGCGATTCTGAAGCACATATTGTCGGGAATATGCACCAAAATGAATCGCACCAAGTCGGTGCCCACTGACGTCATGGAAACGCCGCTGAACCGATGCCTCAACACCTTCGACATCGCTCTGTTG